GATGGGACTCCACCTCAAGTCTTGAAGGCCTGCTCAAGTCAAGCCATGTTGTATAGGGAAAATAAACATAATACATACGACTATGACAATAAACTTAAAACATATGTTCGGCGGGATTCTTGTTAACCCAAACAACCAAGTCTGTGACATTTTGCGAGATCACTGTATTCGGCCATTGTGGGTTATGTTGCAAATAAAGGACTCACTTTCAATTTATGTCAGTATTAAAGCATTGTTGCATCAGTGTGATAAAATAGTTTAATTTTCAATATTTCAGTTACCAGATTAATCCATCCATTTTTAGATATTTATCGATAAATAGTTTTTCAATTGAATTTTCCAGAAAATGTGCTACTGTATATTATGATATATCACACTTGTGTTATAAAATTTATACTTTTTAGTAGAAGCCTATCCCTAGTCCTCACAGAGATAGAAGTACAAGAGCACGCGCAGTAAAGAATTTTGTGTTTACCCAGTAAACACAATCAGTGTGGAGTGCAGGGACTGATGAGGCTGCAGCAGAGGCTGATTCTCTTCTAAATTGGCCTGCAGGCTGACAGTAACCCAATCTGAGAGAGGGAGTGATGGTGGAAAAGAGCGAGCGAAAGACAATAAGTTGGAAGCACAGTGTTGATTTAAAAAAAAAAAAAACAGAAAGATGAGCCTGTGAGCCCCCAGAGGAAACAGACACCAGGCTTTGTCTCCTATAAATATCATTGCTCATTCTCCCTCCCTTTCTTTCTCTCACTCCCCTCTTCCCTCTTTCCCTCTCCTCCTCTATAATTTTGCTCTCTCTCTCATCTCCTTCTTTATCGTCTTTTCTTCACCTTGTTGTCTACCTGCTTTTTTCTTTCCCTCTGCTTTCTCTCATTATATTTTGTTTCTCTATGCTTGGCTCTCTTCCTCATTACCTTTTTATTTTCTCCCCAATTATTTTCTTTCTGCTTAATGGGTTTGTGTAGTGATACTTGTTTTGCACAGAACAAAACGTGTCTGCAATAAGGTTGACGTTGAATTTTATTGGATCTGAATCCGGTATCAGGTCTGCTTTTCAAATCCTTATTCTTTCGAATCCCTTATCGAATGGATTTAGGTTAAACATTTCTAAGTAATTAAAGTTATACATACCTAAACTCAGCTTTTGTGGCTCAGACAGCATAAACACTGCAGTTTTCAGTTGTAGTTTAATTAATGTTCACACCCCTGGAAAAAATTTTAATAGAAGATATGAAATGTTGATTAAATATGTATCTGACACATTTAAATAACAGGTGTGACCTTCATTCATCAGCACAGCATATTTTTCATGAGCTACTATATTATTAAGTTAAACTGGGATATTGTAACTCCTGAAATTGGTGTGACACAATCAACTCCAATATAGCTAGATGTTTCACGAGAGGGGAAACACCAATCTGGGTTTGTTGCGTTGTCTGATTTATTTATTATAATTTAATAAGCACCGAATTAGCAAGAACAGCAACTAATGCTTTGCTGATACCAGATCCATTTATTAATCAGTGTGCAATCTACTGTCATCTGATCCACATGCCCAAAATGTTACATATTGTTGTGCCTTGTTGTCTTTCCTTCTGTCCATCCCACTCCCCCCCCACACACACACACGTTGTGGATCTCTAACTATAGTCAGACTCAAGGCGAATGACATTACTGGCATCGCATGGATCATTCACTGGTGCAGCTGCTTTTTCAGAGCTTGCACTGTTCAATCCTTTGGCTCTCTCTCTCTCTCTCTCTCTCTCTCTCTCTCTCTCTCTCTCTCTCTCTCTCTCTCTCTCTCTCTCGCTCACCCGTCACCCCTTCCTCCTCCCCCTCCTCTCGCTGAGCTCTTCCAGAGGATGACTTCACGCTCTGGAAGGGGGCAGCAGCAGCAGCAGCAACGAAGACTATGGTGGCTACGTTACGTTAGCATCTGAGATCTCTTCCCAGCAGCGTGGCTTACGACCAACCAGGCACCCCAGCTGGAGAGCAGAGAGAGAAGAAAAGGGAGGAGTGGGGAGAGGCAGAGGGAAAGAATTTTTTTGGGGGGGGGGGGGGAGGAAGTCAGAACGGGAGAGAGGATTTGAGAGGAGTAGGAAGAAGCAACAAGGAGAGGGAGGTTAAAAGTTTGATTGCTTCTGCAATAGGGCCATGCGCTGGCATAGAGTGTGGAGCCGGAGAAGAAGCACTCACTCTGGATTTAAGAGGATGACAGTTCAAGAGACGGCAGAAGAAGAAGAAAGAGGAAAAGAGCTCGGACTGGCTGAGATGAGAGCCACAGCTCACAGGAGGAAGGCAGCTGAGCTCCAGACGTCCACATAGTACAGTTAGTGGAAACATGTTGCTGAGAGGCTGTGATGACTCGCAGTGCCTTTACTGCTGCTACCTTGCTGTATGTGTGTGTGTGTGTGTGCACAACTGAAACCAACAATGCTTCTTCTCTTGTCGGGAGTGTGACACCTCTGCGCGGAAAAACACCCAAATCCCACAACTGAACAAAAGCTTAGAACTGAGATGAGACTGAGTCTAGCAGATCTTTTCCCTCAGGAGCCGGATCCTTCCACTCTGGGTGTGATTGAGGCTGTCTGTGGGCTCAGACGAGCTCAGTGATTGTTTGAGGCCAGGGTCACAGTGTCTGAAGACAGACGTGTTGAAAATCAATTTGCCATTTCGCTTCGCTTCAGCTTGCTGGGTAGTGGGTTACAGCAGTGAGTATCAATCCTGCCTTGTAGATTAAATTTTCTTTCACATGTTGTATTTATGAGATGTGAATCCGGTCCCTGTTTCTCCTTTCAGAGACATATAAACAGTAGGGATGCACCGAATGTTCGGTCACCGAAATGAATCGGCCGATAATAGCAAAAAAAAGTACTGTCAGTGTTCAGCCTAATAAGTCAAAAGAATTTTACCGAACAATTACGTTGACATGTTGGCCGTGTGGAAGCATTTTAAAGTGTCCGAGAAAGACGCAAAAATCACTGTTTGCAGACACTTTTCTGCTGAATTGTCAGCACATCCACTCCATCTGTGGCTGACTTCTCAGAAAAGGCAACAAACAGTCTGACCTGCTTTGAGTGTTTCTGTCACTCGTTTGTGAGAAGGCGATTAAGCTAGCCGCACCTAAATGTGGAGTGCACACATATTCAAGCCACTGAAACAGACCAGTACAAGCTGACAGGCAGGTTAGCGACTTTATCCTGTCATTTTCTCTCTTTACAAAGACAAGTGTTGCAGTATGAGAGTCCTACAAGAAGAGAGGCTATGAAGTCTTCATGTTATGCAATATAAGAACCACATACAACATTATTTATCAAATTGGGTCGGACTTGATGAATTTAGCGTGAGGATACACATGTGACAACGTCCGGTTTTCAAAATAAGGTGTCTATACAGGATGGAAATAAGATTAATTTGATTATATTCACAGAAAGTATAAAACATGTGAATGTACTTCGGTGTTTGGCAACTTTTTTCATCATATTCTGTTTCCGCTTCGGCCAACAATTTTCATTTCGGTGCATCCCTAATAAACAGGCTGGACACAAATCTCTGCTCATCTCAGGGTATCTGCGGGGAATGAAAAATCTTCTAAATCACTGTGTTCAGTTCCCTCATAAAGGTCTTAGATGGTATTAAATTCCTGAATTTCATTTACGTAGGTCTTGAATGTTTTTCCTACCTGCCGTAGACTGTAACATTAGGTCAGATTTTCTAAGTGATTGGGGGCTTTCAGGAGACGTTATACACCTATGACTGGTGCAATAGTGATTGTGCATGCAGGAGTTTCAATCAGACCTGTAGCAAACACTTGTCACTACTGCTAGTCGCAGTAAGCTCATTAACTTGTGTTGGGAATGTGTCAGTATTTGCTAAAACTTAAATTAACTTATACTATGTAATTGGTTAACACATTGCATAACAGTTTTCTGTCTTTTATCTGGGTCTAAGTTGGTGGCAGAACTGATTAATGATATTACCAGGAATTACTGTAATATACAATTGGAAATTACTGTCAAAAATATGACATCATTCTTAGACCTGCATGGCAATTAAACTGTATTAAATGCATTTTATGTGGTAATAAAAAAGTCTTCAATTTAATTTAGTGACCACTGCAGAAATCTTATGATAAGGAAAATATTACTGGTGGTAACAACAGTAGATCAATCAGGTATGCCAACACTTAAAGGATGAAGGATAATTTCCATGATTTGCATGGTTGTTAATCCAGCATGTGCCATAATGGAAGATTTTTGTTCTCTGGTCAATTGAAAGGCACTTTGAGTTTAATTTGACTATCACAAGCGTGTGCATGTTGCCACAAAATAAAAGCTTTCTGTGAAATCATGTCAGAATCATGACTTGTGTGCTTCAACTTTTCAGGGAAAAAATCTGACAGAAATTTCAATTTTTGGTTTAAAGTTTTTATTTAAGGTGCACCTACATTTTACAACTAATTTATATAGATTAAGCTGTCCAAAGTTTAGACAAAAATGCATTCAGTAATTTGCATACACGTTTAAGTTAAAATATTTAACACTTAAAATTTGATTTTAAACACACAATTCAAGACACAAAATATAACTTATGTAAGAAAACACAACTAATTCAACTCTTTGAAAATGGTAAAGTCAGCACAGTTTAATATATACATACATTACAAATTGGCACAGATGAGCCAAGGAGAGGGGTTAAACTACCTCATTATCAAGTGCTGCTGAATAGGTTGCTGCTTTGTAGGTGACCTGACCTCCTGTGGAGCCATCATACATATGCTCTCACAGTACAAAACCATGTGAGGCAAAGTTGTCACCATTTTAAAAAGTGTTTTAATGATTACTTGTAGTCGGGCAGGTGGTCATGAGTATCAGGGAGGATTTGTTCAAAGTGTACCTGCTGGTTCGTTGAGGACTGAGGGACATATAAATTCTACCGTTGATAAGATTCCTTTTGTCATACCTTGAAACTAAAGTATGCATTTCTTCACTCTCTTGCAGGTACATAGGAAGATTCGTGAGGACTCAGACATGGCCCAGGACTCTTTGCAGTGCCTGGCCCAACTGGCCTCCATGCACGGACCTGTCTTCCCTGATGAGAGCGCCCAGATCTCCTACCTGGCCCACTTAGTGGAGGGCCTGCTCAGCATGATCAACGGGTCAGTAGCTCAACAACTGTTGAATGGATTGCTATTAAATTTTAATGACTTGGTCATTCCCAGACATTTACTCTAGTACCACCATGCAGTTGACAGTTGTGGCTTTGAGTGAATTGACAAAACTTTTGAATTGGTTTGGTACAGATATTCATGTTCCCAATGGCATATGAATTTTAATAACTTTGGTGAACCCCTGATTTATCATCAAGCTCCATTAAAATTAGAACATTTTAGCATGCTAACATGTTATCAAGCTGGTAGAAAGGTGTTTAGCATGTTAGCACGCTGACATTAACATTTAGTTCAAAGCACCGCTATGTTTGAGTCTGCTGTCAGCTTGGCTGTACACTCTTCGTCCTGTTATTTACCAAAGGAGATGCAGATGTTATAAAAATGAAATTTCCTTTTAGAGTTTAGTTGTATTTTATTCTGCCATTTGTTTTCTCCCTGGTGAATCGTCAGCATTGTCCTTTAATTTGAAGTGGGCAATATACTGACATTGTAAAGAGACTATATATCCTGTGGCATTCTGGTTCTTGTAACATCGTGACATACAGTAGGTTAAATGTTGCTTTTGGTCTTTTTGTAGTTATTAGACTACTTTCACAAACTATTGTTTGGCATCCTTTTCATATTATGTATGTATCTTGCAACAGTGATGGTGTTGCAGGTAAAGGTACGGTGTTTGCTACCCTTTCTAATTTAAATTTAAGGATTACACCAGTACAGTGTTTCTCTTAAGAGTATTTAACAGTGAAATGTGATGTTAGGTGCTGTGTAGTACTGACAGTAACATGAATGTCTACTTTATAGAATAGGTTTGAATTTGTTTTACATTTTTCCAAGTCTGTCTTAACACAATACTAAATAATTCTCATATAAGCCACATGCATTTACTGTGTAGTTACTGTTCGCTGTAATCATTCCTCCTCTCCATATTGGCTGTGAAGGGACCAAATCCACTATTCAAAAAGCAATCAAATTAAGGAACCAAAAGCTCACAGTGGGGACCTGCTTGATTTGAAATGTCAAATCAACCTCAGTGAAGAATATTAAATTGGTTTTGAAGAAGCAGTTTTGTTCCTTTTGATACTAGCAGTTATTTAACTATTTTCATCAATCACATTGATCTTTCTCGTACTTTCTTTTGACAATTTGGCAAGTCTTATGTTTGCTAATCTGCAAAACCTTCACGTACTTTCCACTGCACTGACAGGTGAGGCTTTAGAAACAACAGATGGAACTAATTCAAACCTGCCTATTGAAATCTCCCCCTGGGGATGCAGGGGTTATTACACACCCACTGCACTATAATAAATTAACTTTGCCTTAGCGAAATTGATCTTTTGTGCATGGAATTATTGAAAAATGTACTGAAAAAAAGACATTCTGGGCATAAAAATCACATAAAGTCAAAGGACAAAACATAGACTACATTTATAAAGTAATAAAGAATCTTGCAGAGGTGTGGTGTGTAAGTTAATGCATGTAGAACAATCTTGAATCTTTAATACTGCTCAGATGTGGACAGATTGTATAATACAGGACTGCCTTTTGTACATTTAATCTAAATGTAATGTTTTTGTAAAACCTTAGCTGTCCATTTTAACTGCATTTGTTGTAGCTTTAAAAAAGCATGATCAGTAAGCACAGTTACTGTTATATTGCCTTGGCTACCGTCTCAGTAGCTGTTTATCTCCCTCCAGTATCTCAAGGATTTTTCATGTTTCATAAATTCAGAGACTGAACAAGTGATGGAGGCCAACGTCAGCAAGAGTGTGGCTCATACTGGGCCAATTCTGCTATATTAACTGGAAGTAATTGCTTGTTGAGTCTGTGTTTTTAATGGCCTCTAAATCTAGCATCTGCACACTGTATTGGAAACTGGCTAGTGAAGGAAGAGCTTGTCTTCCTGTTCATTAACAAATAGCGTTAACCAGGAACTTGTGTTTCCCAGATTCCTCCAAACCAAATCTGTGTGAAAGTGGATCAAATTATGCCTTTATTTTTCTTACAGTTTTTTTTTTTTTTTTTTCTCAACCAGAGAGGAAAAAATCATCGCTAGCAACCACTCAAACACTGGTAAATACTGAGTTTGGGTGTGTTTTAGTCTATCAATCCTACAATCATCCTTTAATCTAATATAGAGCAGCCTCTCCCTTGTGATGAAACTGATGTGGCCTTTTACCCAGTTCTAGCTGGAAGCGCTGTTTTTATGAACCTCAGTACTGCTGAAAATGGTATAACGGCTACTACAATTTTAAAACTATATTTCTATTTAAAGAACCTGGCCTTTCTGGTGGGGTTAGAAGCCATCTGGTAACTGTGAATTCTTGATTTCTGCATATAGCAAGAGTCGGGCATCAACAACAAAATGTAATTTAAAAAATATTGGGTTGGAAGATATGACGATATATTGTATGCCTATGTCTTCTATACTTTTTATACTGTTTGTATTAGACCAATCTGTTTTTTCATCAATTTGATAAAGATTTTCTGTAGTAGCCAAAAACAGAAATCACACATTTTTTAATTGATCTTTCAGAGAGAGAGAGAGAGATTCAAATTACATATATGATGAAACTATATTGTACACTCTTGGTATTAGGATAAGCCAATTTGTTTATAAACTAAATATTGACCATAGTGTTTTTACAGAAGTAGTTTTATATAACTTCAAAATATAAATAAATAATTAAAATAAAAATGAAAACAAATATTACACATCAAAAAAAAGCAAATAGGAAACAAATTTTTTTTTATAGCACATTTCTCGATCAGATGTCACAAAGTGCTTCATGATAAAAGACAACAGCAAGACATAAAATAGATCCAAAAGGCATACTGCAGTAATTTCCCAGAAAATGATATATCAAGTTATCACGTTAGCTACTGCCCTTGTTTTAGCATTGCTGCACCTTCATTACTCATAAAGCAGCAGATGCATCAAAATGGCAATAGGTTTCCGCTAGAATAAATTGTGTGTGTGTTCCAGTGTTCAGCTCAATTTATTTTGTTGAAAATCCCTTTACTAAGCAGTACTGAACCTGGGTGTTCCTGAGCAAAGGAAATAAATGTTTTTCATTCCCCAAAGCTCAGCTCAAAGCCAATTTTCCTCAATACTTCACATTTTCTCAACCTTCCTACTATAAAGCTGTTGTGTCACATCCCGCAAAGGTGTTATTTTGGACTTGTGAGTCAAGAGCTTCCAATTAGAGGTAAAGAAGCATTTGTCTTGAGCCTTGTTCCAGCAGAAATAAAACACTCAAAAGGCTTGCTTCATGGAATCTTTACCTAAGTAACCTACAAACTATATTTTTACCCTTTGGTTAAATAAAACCATGTGAAACCAACATTATATGCATGTTGTATATGTTAAACTCGAGGTGATTCATGACTGACATGGTTTTCCTTGGCATTGCATTTGAATTGGTGTGGCCAGGTGTGTGACGAGAGGGCCTCCTCAGTCCGTGATTCTTGTAACGCCTGCCTGTTGACAGAGGTCATGTGAAGAAATAGAACTTGTTATCTTGGGCTGAGAAATATTACGAGTTGTGTGTCAGCCTATTGTTTGTTCCTGTTTGTGGTGCAGTGAATCACAGTGTGTTTTAGCCTTTAGGAAGATGCATTAAGAGATTAGTGCTCTGTTTTTAGCAGAGGGTGAGGCTGCAGGTACCTACCTTTCCACTCTTCTGTTTTAAAAGTAGTCCCTTCTAGCTTAAAACTAGCAATTTTCTTTTCTCAATAAATCGTTTAAAATGTCCGTTGCAATTTCTTAAAGCCCAAAGTGACGTCTTCAAAGGTCTTCTTTTGTTTGATCAACAGTCCAAAATCTAGATCTATTCAGTTTGTTAGGATATAAAACAAAGAGAAATAGCAAATATGCACATTGGAGTAGCTTTACCAGATAATTAAGTTTTTGGTAGGAAAAATCATTACAAAAAGTATAACCGTTGATTGATTAATGGATAGTTGCAACTAAAGAAGGATCTTTGTGACTTGACATGAATGTCAACCGAAGACACTGCTGAGGAAAAGAAACATTGGGTGCATTGTACACGAGATTGTTTGGATCGTTGTGATTTTAACTTTTAATGGAACAATTTATATGTTCATTTTATTAAACTCAACCTTTTCTGGATGTGATCAGATTATCCTCCCATGCTTTGATCTGCTATTTTATCTGCCTGGTTTTGACTTTCAGGGCTGTCACCTACACAAGACTTTGCTGAAGTAGCTCTTGCAGCTCTTGTTGTGTTGCTGAATATCTTTATACAGATACAGCTCCTCTGCATCAAATATGAGCTGCAGTTATTTCAGGCACATCTCAACTCTCATCTAGCTAACATCCAGGTTGGTTCAACCTTGGATTTTGATCTCTCATCTCTTTCTTTATTAGTACCTTTTTTCATTAATTCAGTTTGGGTTGATATTGGACCTGCAGAGTTGATTCAAATGTTTTAAATCAAACCTAGTTTGTCTTTTTATGATCAGTTAAGAAAATTTTTAATCGAATTATTTCAGACTCACACTGACCTTCATAAAGTTATTCTGGCTGTTTTTATTATATTCTGCACTCAATAAAAATGACTAAGTTGTCTGTAAAATGCAGCTATAATACCTTTAACAATATCTGAGAGAACACATTAACACTTTTTTATTATGCCTCCACCGGCTTACAGTTGCTAGAGTATAATTTAAGATTTTATTGTTCAGTCATGAAGCCTGAAATTGATTGGACCTGTTTTGTCACCAGGGCCCCTAAAAGATGGAATGACACAACTTTTTAACTACTCTGCAACCTTTCTGTCCTCCTTAAATTGTCTCTGTAAACTGACGTTCGGTGTATGCAGTATGTTGAATTCATTGTATCTGTTGAATTCATTTAAAGTAGGGCTTGGGTTCCTTTTGAAATGTTTAACCAAAACAATACATTTTTAAAACCTCACTGTGCTTTTTTGGGAAGTATGAACATGTTTTTCATTTAAAATTGGTAAATGTTGCCAAAACACAAGCAGCCATACATTTAGATTTTGCCTAATTGAAATTAAATAAAAACACATACAAACAAATTTGTACCAAAAAAGTGAGGTTTTATACCCAGCCCTACTTTCAATATTTTACTATTCATTGTATATATTTTTTTAATCACGTTGTGGGCATTGTCTTAGCACTTACTAACTGTTAATATAAGTGATAGACAAAAACAATAGGTTAGTGGAGGTTTGTAATAGAAATAGTGGTGTTCGTGTGAACTGTGTGTGTTAGACAGAGCGAGAGAGAGAGAAAGAGAGAAGGGGGGGGGGGGCAAAAGTACAGAGTGTTTGTGGGTGTGTCTGTAGTCAAAGTGGTCCTGATCTGAATTAAGGGGCCACACTCACATGTATAAATAACTGAACAACACTTGAATGTGCACACGAGCTTGTTGTTGGACCATGTGATTCAGTGAGTAAGGGTCTCTCTCTCGCTCTTTGCTCTCTCTCTCTCTCCCACTCCCTCTCGTTTCCCTCCTCTCCTGCTCTCTCTGTAATCACCTATTCTTGGAGCTTTTTTCCAATTGCCTCATCGGAAAACCATGCGGCGAGGGACAGCCGATCTGCAATGATTGAACAGTTCTGCTCGCAATTTAACTCCATCTGATAGGGGTTAGCTAGGCCTCTCACACAATGTTCCTCTCTGACTGGGGCTGACTGGAGAGGTGCGTCAGTTCAAACACTAATTCAGGATTAAGACTTTTGCTATTTTTGTGCAGGAAAAGGCAACACAAAATATGCAGAAAGCTTCAAGGGTGGTGTTGGTTTTTCATGTAGAGGGGTTAAAAGAGCATTTCCCCTTGAGCATCAGTAGCATGTTATATTTAGACTTTCATCTTATTAACCGAGCAGAAAAGTTCTTGAGGCAGACGCTGTGACTGAACAGGTTTGTATATGCATCATATAAGAACTTAAGCCTGTTTGGCTTAGCTTCCAGTTGCAGTCATGAGAATAATTCAGCAGCCTGATGTTATCAGTCGATTTTTAGCAAAGGTCTTTTTTTCCCCTCAGTTCTGTATCTTTATTGGTAATAAAGTAAGCCTAGTCATTTTCTTTCAAGGATATTAAAATGACTGGGGGCCTTGAAGACGCAGGTTTGGGTTTTGGGGGGGGGTGTTAGTGTGAGTGTAAGATCTCGTTTAGGGCCCCAAAATATACAGAAAGTACCCTGATTTTTAGTTTAGCGCAAATATATCAGTATCAGCATATAAGTCGGCCAGAAATAATAAACTGCAGTGCAGAAATGCCAAAGATGCATTTATGTTTGAGGTCATTTAGAAATTGTGGACAAAGTTAGTTCACCAGAGAGTACTGACAGGTTTACTTTTCGACTTTAAAATGTCCCGCTCAGTACTTATGTTGGTTACAATTCCAAAATTAGGAAAAAAATGTGTCCTTATGTATTTATTAGGGTTAGGGGTATATATACTGTATATATTGGATACATGTTTTTTTACTCAATTGTCAGTATCACTAAGTTCAGACTAGGCAGCAGAGTTGAGAATGAAATGAGACGTAGAGGACCGCGGTCCTACCATTTGTTGATGCATCTTTTTGGAGGAATTCAGAGAGCGTTTCAAATACAGAGGAATTGTTCAGAATGTGATTTCATAGAGAAATTAATGGAAGATAGGATTTTTTTTAAGATGGCTAATCAAGCATCTCTAAGTTTGAATCTTCTTTCATCTTCGTTGGATGGATTGCCATCAGGTTTTTTTTTTGCAGACATTCATGGGCTCAAGAGAAGCTGATTGTACATTTCACTGTAATGAGATTTGTCCTTATGGTGTAAGAATTCAGATTACAAGCCACTTTTATATCTGGTTTTAAAGTTCAACAACTTATGAGTGAAATTTGATTTAAGCGTATCCATGCCTGTCACATCGTGCTTCATGGTATGATGTAATGATAAAAATGTCTTTTTAAATTAAGAAATTTAATTACAGCCAGTCTTCTTAACATCTTGTACTCTGCGTACTGTACTATGAGTGCAGAAATACCATAAAAATAACCTCAGATGCAGCTGTGGAAAACTGCTCAGGGGTCAAGTTGCCCATGAGTTTTGGTTAAGGATCAGTTTTCATGCCTGTTTCCAAACCTCAACAACCAGCGGGTAAACTGGAAAGTGACCCCAGTTTAGCCTCAGCCTCACCCTGGAGAGTGGAAACTGTCCCTCCTGAGGCCAAAGCACGAGGTTGGGTTTGAATCGAAAATGGAAAAGAAGCATTTTGGACTTTCTTAAACTTTTCAAGAGAAGGAAAATTTTTACTGCTGAATGTAATGCAGATGAATTCAGAAATTCACAAGACATCATTGCTGTTTTATTAAGAAACTACACAAGATGCAGTTTTCATTTGGCTCACTCTGATTCTCCCAACAGAAATATTCATTTTAATGATTTAAAAATAGTATTTGGCGCTATCTTTATTTATATCACAATCAGTAGTAGGTCAGATCTTATCCATAGGTCATAATTTATTATCTGCATTCCCAGGATTGAAATCGAGGACTCTGAGGCGATGGGCATCTCCAATATCATCTCCAATCTGATCACCATGTTTCCCCGGAGTATTTTAACAGCACTGCCCAGCGACCTCTTCACCTCCTTCATCAACTGCCTCACGCTGCTTACCTGCTCGTTTGGACGCAGTGCAGCCCTAGAGGAGGTGGTGAGTAATAACACTTTCATCTGCCTCTCAAAAATCATTGTATCAACCAACCATTCTCTCCTACTGATCATAAATAAAATTTGATTTTCTAAATCATTTGTTCCCGCCATTTTGGCCTGAGACTGTTGCCGGTGTCAGTAGTCTACAAGTTATGACCAGTTCATCCAAATAATGATTTTCTTTGTTCTGTTTACTTCAAGGTTTTTACACTCTAGAAATTCTTAGAGTAGAGCGCTTCTGATCACAAACTGACTGTGAAAGAACCAAAAATTCCCACGTAATGTTGATTATATGTACTCACTTTGTACGACACTTTGAAGGTCTCAGGGCCGAATGGTTGGAAAGAAATTGACTACAAGTTATTAACATTGTGCACGATTTTTTTAAAACTCTTTCTGTCATATTTACAGTATTTAAAAAATTATCAAATAATTCAGAAGAAAAAATAATTATTTGGTAACCCCTCAGATTTATCTTGGAGATGGCTATTGTTGACTTGATGCTTATTACATAATATTGCATTAAGGTGATTAAAGTGTATCTGCTATATGTGGAATCCTTATTGCACGTCACATCTATGGCCAGAGTACAACATATGTTTTTGGAGCGGCGAACCATCGCTCATCAATATCAAAATGATATTACAGTTATGAGATAATTACATTTTGAATAGGTATGACCTGAACTTACACACTGATAGAAAAAGTTATACAACATTTTTTTGGAGTCTAGTCTCTCTGGCCTGGTTTTGTCATCAGTGAAATTCTTTGAAAACCTCATAATTTTATTTTCATTTACTAACATCTTTGATGACACACATCACCCACCTGTCAACCAGATATGTGAATATTGTTATTATGAAAATTTTTGTCTTAGCTAAAGTCCATTTGCTCTTTCTTTCCTCGCTCAGCTGGATAAAGACGATATGGTTTACATGGAGGCCTACGACAAGCTGCTGGAGTCGTGGCTGACGCTCGTCCAGGACGAGGAGCATTTTCCGCGCGGCTGCTTCGTCCAGCCGGCAGTCCAGGTCTTCAACTCATACATCCAGTGTCACTTGGCTGCTCCTGACGGCACCCGGAACCTGGTGAGACAACTGCGTTTCACCTCTCGTTATTAATAAACACAGTGTATTTTACTGAAGGAAGGAAAGTCCGTTTAAAAAAAGTTGAAAGCAGAAAAAGTGTTTAGGGATAGAAGCGAATAACTCTGCTCATTTCAGCATATCTTATTATACAGGATCTGCATTCTTTAGTTTTAGTGTACATGCAGAGCGTTAGAAGTGTGTTTTCACATTTCTACATCAATATGGACATAGCCACGCTCTATCCTCCTCCTCTTGACACAGTTTTCTTTCACACTTTCTCTTTGCAATTCACAAAACCTTGAACCACGCTCACCTTCCCACCCCTCAGTCAGTGAACGGCATATCGTCTCACGAAGAGGAAGAGATCAACGAGCTGCAGGAAGACGATAGAGAGCTGTTCTCTGATCAGCTGTCCAGTATTGGCATGCTGGGGCGTGTGGCCGCTGACCACTGTATCCCCCTGCTCACAAGGTAAACGAATTAAACTTACCAAATAGTTTGAGTCATTTTCCTTGTGTGTGGTTTTTTTTTTTTTTCTATCTATATACTGAAAATACACAGAGAAATGTAACAGTTGTTTTTGTGACATACATTTTATTAGTGACTCAAAAGTGCAATAAAAATGTGGCATAGCTAGTTTTCAGTTTTTTGTATGTTTGACCTTTTGTAAACATCTATATACAGTTTGCATTAGTATAAATTAATTTGAGGTTTAGTGTGATCTTGACTGTTAGCAGAAACTATTTGTGTTTCCCATGTTGACATTTGTTTTATGATATCGTCCTGTAGCCTTCTGGAGGACCGGGTGACACGGCTGCACGGTCAACTCCAGAGGACGCACCATCACCTCATGGCTTCATCTGACCCTGGATCAGTGGACCGCAAAGTCCTGGATGACCTCTATGAGGACATCCACTGGCTCATACTGGTCTCAGGTCAGCAACCATACATAAAAAAAGGACAGTTTCCTGGATTGGCACAAGAAGAATTGGGACTTACTTGCAGATGTTCCCTTTTCATTTTCATGTTTCTGACTGCACACCTGTTTGGTCACTCAGGATTTTATTGTTCATTAGCAGTTAATTTTATCTCTCTCTACATGGATTAGATGTGAGATGGTATTACCGTTGTGTTTAAGTAGCTGAGTGCAACATTTTAAATATTTTTTTTTCAATTTGAATTACTGGAAGGTATAATAATATTTACAGTAAAATAATAACTTAGTAGTTACTGTAGAAAAAAAGCAATATAATTAAACTAAAGTGGCAAAAGTCATTATCTATAAATATACATTTAAACTGGATTACAGTCAAGTATAATGGGATCCCAAAATACATAGGAGGTTTCCATAAAGCTTCACATGGTTTAAAAAACAAATGCTCACAAAGTACTGAAAGTTGAAAGCCGTATGATGTTGTAAAATACTGGAATATGGCTTATATCGCTTTTTTTATAGTGTTCACAAATTACTTTTCCAGCGCAGTATATACCACTTGACAGACTTTATTTGTGAACAAGACAGAAGAACTGAATTACACCCAGTTCTGTTGGTCTGTGTTAATGAAATATTGTCTGAATCAGCATCATTAAAGGCGTAAAACCTTATGCCTACTGGGAGATACTACACAAATTACCCTACCAAATAAATATAAAAACCCACTACTGGTTTCTCTAGCTGTTGCTAAGAAAGTAATCTTTCAAAATTGAAAATCCAATTCTTGTCACATCACTCACTGGATTAATTTACTTACAGAAAACATTTCGTTAGAAAAAATAACAGCTTATAAAACAAGCAATTATCAGCTTTTAATGAAACCTGGGATACATTCTTAACTTTCTTTAACTCAAATCTACCCCTCGATTAAGTCCTCATACATCTCCACAGACCTCTGCTATAACATCTATTTCCTAAACAATACAACACCACTATATCTAACTAGGAGGCTATATTCTCATCCTCCAATCTTCTATTCTGTTTCTCGTCCATCATTATTTTCTCTTCCTATTTTTTCTCTGTCTCTTATTTTACCCTCATATTACATAACTATTACTATACTATTATACCACTAATGGACTCTAACTAAATTCCTTTTTTTGTTACAGGGGTATATGTTATACATACAGTTGATGTCAGCCATAACAATAATGATAGCAGCCGGAATGGATTAGCAAGCAGGGGCAAGGGCAAAACTAAATAGAATAAAAACTGATACCGTATTAAAATAAAAATAAAACGTTATTATTATTATTAATATCATATTATATTTCTATATAGACTAATTGCAGCTGCTGTTATTGTTCTCGTTGCTGTCCTTATTATCAATATTAATATCTGTTATTGTCATAGTTTTTCATCCTGGTTGGTGCCGATATTAAGTATATACTATAATTAACACTATTATCAATAACAATATAATTTATCAAGTATGTTATATATTATATAATAATTCAGTATCATGTATCTTAAAAATACATTTTTAGAGATGATGTTGATGGTGTTAAAAGTTGCCAATCAATGATGATATGCTAATATTATTGTTAACATTAGCAATATTTAATATTATTTTAATGATTGCTTAAATATATTATTTGTATTTAAAAAGCTTCTTCTTCTTCTTCTATATTTATTTCTACATTTATAATGCATTCTATTATTAATGTCAGTGTTATTGGGGAATGGAACAGTATATCTAATAGCATAATTGATACTATCATCATTAAGCATACTCTCCCTATTAATACATTACAATTACAGTTATTTTCATCACATACTGCTGTGTCTGTTAAATAGAATTAGAATTAACAAGCAACACACAATACCTACATGCATACACTTTTTTTTCTGCCCCCTATTCATTCACTTATGCACTCATAGTTTATTTATTTATTCAGTTATTTATTTAGTGTTTGTTTTTATTTATTTAATTATTTTTTACACAAGGAATAATAATAATCACATACACAAATTGCCTTTAAACATCTTCAATATCCAACATGCTGTTATGTCCAACTGTGCACAGTTGTTTCTCGTTTCTGTTTTTGTGTATTTTCACGAAATACTGTTGTGTCTGTTGGGTATTTCACCTGTTACGTGTTGCATCATATAATAATTTTTTTTTTTAAAGGTGTAAAAACAGGCTATAATGTGCCGTCTGTGTCTCTCGCCTGCACTTTCCAGGGTATTTACTAGCAGACGATCCTCAGGGCGAAACCCCATTGATCCCCTCAGAAGTAATGGAGTTTTCCATCAAACACTCGACAGAAGTGGACATCAACACAACGCTGCAGATCCTAGGATCACCAGGGGAGAAGGCCTCATCCATACCGGGCTGCAACCGCACAGACTCAGTCATCAGGTACTAAATAAACAAAGTTCACATTTTGGCAATAGGAAGCAAATTGATTTGTAACTATAGTATAATTGTGTTCTATAATTTTACTTCTTTTAGTCATGAATTTCCAGAAAGTGAGTTTAAGGCTTTTCTCACATTTTGCCATTAAAACATCTAGATTATTTGGATGGAGCAACTTGGACATTTTGTATTTTGCATTGCACAAAAAAACATGTTGTAAGTGCTGTTTGTTTCTTTTGTTCTGTGTCAGGGTTCATGAGCTTGTAAGCAATGTATTTATCCCTTTTTGGGTTTGAACGTTTCGTAGGGACTGAAACTACTGAAAGGTGGGTTAGTTCCTTCACACTAAAACACTATCTGAATGTGCAGCCAGTAAAACACAGTAACTAAGGCTACGTTCAGACTGCAGGCCAGTGTGATCCAAATCTGATATTTTTGCCCATATGTGACTCAGATCTGATCTTTTTATGTGTGAACAGGCCAAGTCACGTGGAATCTGATCTTTTCCAGTTCAGAATTGGACCACTCCCATATGTAGTCCAAATCTCATACAGATCAGATCTTTTTAAATGCGACCTCAGTCTGGACAATTAGGTCGGAATTGATGCGACTTTGACATCACTCTAGAGAAGCTGTTCTGCTGTAGACGGAGCCGCGGTGAACGAAGAAGCTCCACTTAAAGCTCCACTTAAAGCCATTATTAAACATGTGGCTCTCTTCCTCCTCTACCCTGCAATCATCTGCTCACAAATTCCCTTTCTTACACCTGAAATCCACCGGACTGGTCTGAGCGGACACAGTGGGGGGAGAGAGAGTTGTGGGGCAGTTGCGTTGTAAAGCGCCAGAAACCGTAATAAAAAGAACAGAAAGTTGTGAACGTTTGTCATAATTCTGGAGAAATGTGACCTGTGAGAGGACAATAAAAAACATCAGTCTCCCGTGAGCTAGCCGGAGCAAACCTCTGTTGCTCCTTGTTTACTTCTGTAGCCTGCAACAGCGTGCTGCATGTGCAGTCATGTTATTCTTCTGTACATGCGGGTTACGTTCAGGCCACGGACAATTCACACTGGAGTCTGATATGGGCCACATTTAAACAGTAATGTGAACTGTCAAACAAAAAAAATCGGATCTGGGAAAAAAATTGGAATTGGAGCATTAAGGCCTGCAGTCTGAACGTAGCCAAAGATCCTCTCACTGTGGTTTATAAAACTATATAACATGGGCTCATTTTCTGTGTAAGGATGAGATACATGGAGATGTCTCATCCTTACACTTCAGAACCTGAGCTTCCTCTAACCTAACCTATGTTTTTCCAGAGCCCAAGGTGACCCCCTCAAATTGCGTAGTTTATCTTACCAGCGGTCCAAAAATATTCAATTTACAATAATATAAAACTGAAACAAGAAGCAAATCCTCACATCTTAGAAGCTGAAAATAGTGAATGTTTGATGTTTTTGTGGTAGATTAATTATCTACTGATTGATATGAGGCCATGGTGACCTACACAAGACACTGTCACACACTCTTACATTCAGATAGTTAGTTGAGCATCTGCCAGAAAAATATTTGAAAATTTTATAGGCTGAATGATTAATCAGTTAATCAAAGAAAAAGAAAAATTGGAGGAGATTTATCAGTAATAAAAATAACTAGTTAGAATCGGAGCCTGCATTTCCAAATTCCAAACACAGTTTCTGTAATCAGCTGCTGTTAAAAAAAGTTTTCTACTATACCAAAGCTCAAAATGACAAAAATGTAACTGCAGGGTGGTCAAAGGAGTTGCTGATCAATAAAATCATTGAACGATTATTTCCCCAAGGGCTGACATTTCTAACTTTTCAAAACAAATTTTCAGCCAGTACTTTCTGTAAAAGCAGAAATGTGTGTTCATCACTGTGGCATTTTATAAAACACAGCCTCTCTTGTTGCTGCATTGCATTGTGGTCTGTTTCTGCTGCTGTGGGATTAGACGTTGTTCTTCTCGTGAACAGTGGGTTCCCCCCCCGTGTGGTTGTTGAACGTTGGTACAAAATTATTGCTCTAAAAATACACCAACATATAATAAAATTGACTCCGGGATGCAAAGCGTATCTAGCTGCTGTGATCAGATGGGATTTATTTTTCAACATCAATTAATTGTGCGGCCCGACAGTATGTGACTATGGCAATTCAAGGCTGCTGGCAGTCACACTGGATGCTTGTCTGTGTGTGTGTGTGTGTGTGTGTGTGTGTGTGTGTGTGTGTGTACAGATAATCACTGTGACAACAATAGATAGTCACAGCAGCCAGTGACATTGTCTATTGAAGGTCATTGAGCCCCTGTGTTTTCTAGAGTGTGTGCGTGTGTAAGGGGGGAGTTGACAATAATGACAGAGGATTGCAGAGACGAGTGACCAACGGCATCAAGTTTCCTAATAGCGAGTGGACGACCCCAGCCCCGTAAATGTCAACATGGTTTTGTGTTCTGCAAACAATGTGAAACTGTGCTCTGTCCTCAACCTAGGGGGGCGGACCCAGAAGCTGCTTTAAGCCTTTTGTCTCTCTGTCCTTTAGATACTGTGTGACATTGTGAAGCCCACTCTTTCGCACACAAAATGCATCAAGATGATGACTATATAATCTTCTAAGGTTTGATTATATAGTTTTAAGAGTTTGTGATTTGACCTGAAATCAAAATCACAATTAACTGTCACATTTCCATCCAATAAATAAAAGTCTTAATTACACCTCTGCACAAGAGTCTCGCCCTTGCAGTGTACCGTTATGTTCTATATTATCTTGACTTAAGCAAAAGTTACTGACATGGCGTTATTGTTTTGAGCCAGCTCAATATCATTAATTTGCACCTGCTCTTCCAGCTGCAATTTATCCCGAGTTCAGATTTGAGTTTTTTTTATTTAAGTACAAGCAACAGATACACACCACTATACAATAATGACAAAACTATGGCACCCGGCACGAGTTAAATGCAGAGGATTCTGGTCATAAGGACCACAAGACATTTTTGAAAAAATACAAATAAATATAAAATCTTCAAATCTTTCAAAAAAAAAACTGTTCATGAAAATGTGATCTTTACTAGTTTTCTTTTTCACTTAAGCATTGACATGGTTTATATAATGCTCCACTGTGGGCCTGATTTGCCACATAAAGGCATGAAAGCAGTTCCAAAACAGACATGAGTGGGTGTAGAAGTTGAATTTGATGTACTACATGATTCTTGCAGTCCTTGTGTTGTATCTGCATGGTTTAATCTCTGTGGGACGATTACAGAAGATTACGCGATCACACGTCTGTTGGCATTGTCCATTTTTTTCCATCGGACGATCTGTGCAGACCTCTTGCAGACATAAGCAGATGACAGAACTGGCATTACGCTGACCATTCCTGATGCAGAAATTATAGATGTGGCTTTACTGTTGCCTTTATTGTGATTTTGAAACCAGAATGATTTTATAGTGTCTCTATCTTGTCATGAGCTTGTTTGTATTATCTAATCAGTTTCAGGCAATATTAATTTACCGTCTCTTCTCAACTACTACACCCCTGTTCTCTTTCCTTCTCAGTGTTTTATCTGCTACTTGTGTTGTCCTCTCTGTCATCTTGTCTTCATATTCCCATGTTTCTTCTTGCCATATTTCAACTTTAAAATCCAACTGCTCTCTTTTATATTTTTCTGTCACAGGTTGCTGTCAGCGGTGTTGCGGACATCAGAGGTTGAGTCCAGGGCAACGAGAGCGAGTCTGACAGGGCTTCTGAGCCCACAGATGGGGAAGGACATCATGTGGTTCCTCAGACGATGGGCCAAGACGTACCTGCTGATGGACGAGAAGCTCTACGAGCAGGTATGAAACTTTCTGCTCCTCTCGTGGTCCCGCATAGCTGACATACCTCTAAATAACATCATACATAAATCTCCACACATCCCATCTCTGTCAGCAGTCACACTGCACTATGTCTTCGGTATAACTTTTCTCCATATTATCAGTAAACTAAATGTTTCTCCTCCTAACTGTTTTTTCCTGTGTTCCCTCAGATCAGCATCCCCCTGAGCACAGCGTTTGGTGCAGACACTGAGGGAGCCCAGTGGATTGTGGGATATCTTCTGGAGAAGGTGATCAACAACCTGTCAGTGTGGAGCTCAGAGGCTGAGCTGGCCAACGACACCGTGGAGCTGCTGGTGACGCTGGTAGAGAAGAGGGAGAGGTGAGGACACTGGTGAAGGGCTGCAACAATTAGTCATTCGGCAGAAAATTAGTTAGTGCCTGTTCTCTGGTTGCAGCTACTGAACATCTTTGGGTTTTGGATTGTTAGTCAGATACTTGTGATGGCCATTTTATAGACCAGGGGTCGGCAAATAAGTCTGGCATCGGGCCAGATTTTTTTTTAAGTCATTAGATGGCGGCCCGAGATATCCTAACTTGTATTGCGTAGTTCTATACTGCAACCAATAGCATTTTTGATTGTTACTCCAATATACAGAATAGTTTTAAGCCTCTCGGCTTCCATTTGATATTGGATATAACAATTTTAAAAGGGAAATCTATTGATCTGGTTACTACTCATCATGTTGTAACTGTTGTATGAAAACTTTTATCACCAAAATATCAGCTTTTCATGAACTACACTTTTGGGGTAAGTGAAAATGCATTCTTAAATTATGAGTGTGTTCAGAATGATTTAAGAAGCATTTTCTTTCAGGTAAAATTAAATCATGGTTAGAGCAATATGCAAGACATGGCATCAAAAACAAGATAGCAAAAAGAAGAAAAAGAAACAAGCATTATGTATAATAAATAAAAAAAGATACGGCATTGCTTTGTAAAAGTGATCATAGTCAAAAAGGTTTGGAACCATTGTTCTGAGGCCTTTTGAGTAATATCTGTAAAATCTAGCTGGGGGTCACATCAGACACTACCACACCCCAGACTCTAACAGACACTCTGCCTCATTGTCTGCTCAGGGCCAACATCGTGGTAAAGTGTGAGAGCTGGTGGAGCCTGGCGAAGCAGTTTGCCAGCCGCAGCCCACCCCTCCACCTGCTGTCCAGCTCCGTGCAGAGGTCTCTGATGAAAGCTTTGGTCCTGGGAGGCTTCGCACACATGGACTCTGATGCCAAACAGCAATATTGGGCTGAGGTAATGTGTGTATGACGGTGTATAGTCGATCGATTACTTGTTTATAATTCTTTTAGCAAGAAAAAAATCACTTCCAGCCAGAATTTGATGCTTTTATGAGTGTACATCATTGTAAGTTTAATATATTTGGGTGTAGTTTGCATGTTCTCCCCATTTTTGCGTGTCTTTCGGATGCTTCGGCTTCCCCTACCATCAAAAATATGTTACGTTGGGTCACCCCTTGACCAACACTCTGGCTTAGAATTGGAGTTGCTCCCCAGGTGCAGTAGCTGCTCACAGCTCTTAATGCTAAGGATGGGTTACAAAGCAGAGAATAAATTATAAATTCACTAGATGTTGTACTGTGTATGATTGCATATGTGACAATCAACTCGATTTGATTTTGATTGATAATGAAAATACCATATAACAGGCCTGTAATAATTAACCTTCAGTAAGTACTTACTAAACTATTTAATACAGACCAATATGCTGCAAAAATATATTTAAAAAACTCAATCAAAATGACACTTGGTGGTAACACTGGGCTTATTAATAAGCGGTACAAGGGGGAAGCATCATGGAACTGTACTGATTCAATTCTCTGTGTAAGCTGTTGTTTAGTGCACCACATCTACTCGCAAGCTGGCAAACATGAGGCCTGTAAATGACATTAATTTGTTAAAAGTTAAAATGTCCGAACTGTTCTTTGAAGTTGTGTTCAAAAGATTTTTCTGATTCTAATTTCAACTTGGGGCTTATTTTTATAGCTTTGAATGTTCTGTTCTCAGCGGATCACACAGGTTGTAAACAAATCTCCAGGTTAGTTAGAATTATTTGAAAGAGAAGTAGTAATATTGTCACCCAAACTGTGTAAACATCACAGTTTTGGTGTGCAGTGAAGGATTATCATCAACATTTGAGGTGCTTTCACTTTCCTCTACATAAAGTGGTTTCTGACGGCTCCTTGTCTTATCCTGTTGGACCTTGTTGTAGCAGAGTTGCTGTGTTTCTAGATCTCAGCCATTACTTTAGTGAGTACAATATTATTTTAATTTTGGTGATCTTTTCTAAGACCCACACTGTAATTAACTGAAGTTATCCTTTAAGTTGGATTTAAGTTATAGAGCTCTGCAGACTCCAGTCAGATCCGACGAGGAGGAGTGATGGATGTAGTTGAGAATATTCCCCCGTGGAGTCTTTCTCCCGTGTGTATTACATGATCCTTTTCATGATCCTGGAGGCCTTTGTCTTAATAGGCTGACAGTAGTAAATGGGGGTGCAAAGCCACAATGACTCCAGAGTAATTACGGGGGGTGTACAAGTGAGACGGCAGCTGTTTGCTCCTGCAGCTGCTTTGTCTGAACTTGGATGGCTCTGTTGGAGGAGGAAGAGGAGAGATGGACCCAACAACTGATCAAACACTCCCTTGTTACATCTCTGCATTCCTCCTCTTTCCTCACATGCACCAAAAATTACTTTTATCCTGTTGACTCGAGTAACTTAGCTTTATTTTGACAGTAACTAAGTAAATTTACTCAAGTACAAATTTTCTTTTCATGCCAGTTTCTACTTTTACTCTACTATATCTAAATTGGGAAATATCGTACTTTTCACTTCACTAAATATATCTGACCGCTTGAGTTAATTTTCAAATCACAAAATTTTAAAAATATAATACTTTATGAATTAAATTACACAACAGTTAATGCAAGTAAAGCTCAAACGATTAACTCAATTAATCAAAAGGTCAACTGACTGAAAATTAAATGTTAGCTGTTTAGATTTCAAAGTAATTTTTCATGTAAAAACATTTAATATTTCCAGCAGGTTTGGACTGTTGGTTGGACTATAAAAGCATTGTGAAGGTGTCACTTTGGACTCTGGGTAATTGTGAAAGCATTTGTCACTATTTTCAGGATTTTTACAAACCAAACCATTAATCAATTGATAGAGAAAGTAATCAGCAGATTAATCCATAATGAAAATAATTGTTAGTTGCAGAAGTATAGCAGTCACAGGGATATAGCAGTGTCTTTCTGTATGAGTATTTTTACTCATGACTCATAGTTTGAGGCGAACACCAATCAGAAGTTCCAGTCTGTTTTGTTGCAGGTCTGTCCAAAGAAAGTAAGCTGCCTCTGAATATTAAAAACTGCCTCTTCAGTCCTGCCAGAGGAGCTTAACAGTGCACTGCAATTAAAGCAAAACATAAAATAGCCACATTAAACGCGTTACTTAGTTTCAAAATAAAGTGAAGGTAGTTGCTGAAATTTCTACTGGCTGCATCTGAATGTCTGGAGACCTGACAAATGTGGCGGATAAAACCGTGTGTCCCTTCTGAACACCTTACAGACATTTGTAAAGGCAACAGTCCATTTTGATTTGTAAATAAACTTCCTGTTTCTCTCCATTTGTCCGTCCATCCAGGTGCTTCACCCTCTCCAGCAGCGTTTCCTCAACCTCATCAACCAGGAGAACTTTGCCCAGATCAGCCAGGAGGAAGCTGTCAAACAGGAAATCGTCGCCACGTTAGAGGCGCTGTGTGGCATCGCGGAGGCGACGCAGATCGACAACGTGGCCTCGCTCTTCTCTTTTCTCATGGACTTCTTGTCCAACTGCATCGGCCTCATGGAGGTAAGAGCAGGTTAGGAAGGTGAATCAGAGTCAGTGAAAGGTAGCATGTGTGTTGTTCCCCTGTAGCTTAGAGTCAGGCAGTGACTCTGACAACGTTAGGTTAGAGGACTGATCTGAATGAAACAACAAGAAAACTCTCAATTCAAAGGTGTCTTACGTTACACAGTGAAATTAAAATGATGAAAGAGCCCTTCAAACGTTGGTCAGGGTGTAAACATTTGTGATTAAAGATGACCTTCGCATTTCATCTGACATTTGCTTTTGTTGCTCAGGTCTACAGCAACACGCCCGAGACAATCAACCTCATTATTGAGGTTTTTGTGGAAGTTGCTCACAAGCAGATCTGCTACCTGGGAGAGGTAAGTGACACATCTTACATGGTCTTCCACTGTTTCACCTGCAGATAGTAATGTTAAAACTATCTTGCAGGTGTTGATTTTCTGTAGCAGCTGCTTCTGTACACATAACTGTATGTATAAAAGCTGCCAGTGTTTAACACGTTTAAAAGATATTCATTAGTCAGTTTTCTTCCCACTATAGACATTGAACTGAAATTAATAATACGTTTGTAATTAATGAAACATTTGCTCAACAGAGCTGTGATCTTCTTATACGACGATGCAAGCATTTTGTAGGGCTTTGCATTGCTTAAAGTGCTCCTCTGATGTTTTTCTCGTGACTTTTTGGCTGTTTCTTGGTGTAAGATGATAATAATAGTCTGGCGTCAAGTTTAGCTGAAGATAAAGGCACAATTTTCATCAGGTGGTTCCTGATTGGGGAGAAAAATATTTATGCTTGAAGGAAATGGAAAAGGAAAGAGTTAGCTACACTAGACTAATTAAAAAGATTTTATGAGGCAAACTGGTGAGGAGATATCAGAGGATCCCTGGAAAATATAATAAGGAATTACAGGAATATACCAGATCTTTCACGTATTAAGAAAGAAAAATGTGGTAAAAGGTGTTTTATTTCAACTCTGGTAGGACAAAGACTGTCTAGGCATTTTCGTTTTGGTCACAGAAGCCACAAAACTCATGAATTTTGTAGAAACTCTTCGTGGCTTCAGGTTCCTCGTAGCTGTATGAGATGTAAGTGTCGCTTCTGTCTCCTCCTCTGTGCATCCAGACTAAGTCCATGAAGCTGTATGAGGCATGTCTGACGCTGCTGCAGGTCTACTCTAAAAACAACCAGAGCAGGAAGCGAAACGACGCCACGTCTGAGGAGGACCAGTACCAGGACCTGCTGCTAATCATGGAGCTGCTCACAAACCTGCTCTCCAAAGAATTCATCGACTTCAGCGACACCGGTGAATTGGCTGGATGTGTATTTAAATCCACAGCCAAGTTGAGTCCTTAGCCTTAGCCATGTGGCCTCAGTTGCTTAAGATTCAGTTTTGTTGTGTTCTAGATGAGGTGTTTCGAAACCAAGACCAGGGAACTACGGCGTCCAGTCGGACAGTATCCGCAGCAGATGTGGTTCTCTATGGTGTCAACATTGTTCTTCCACTCATGTCTCAGGACTTGCTCAAGGTAAAACTGCACATTTCTTGTCAGTGTTCCTCATCAAACTGGATCTGTTACGCTGACGTATTCTTTGAACTCGTGCCGATCTCGTTGTTTTCCAGTTCCCCTCTCTGTGTAACCAGTATTACAAGCTCATCACCTTCATCTGTGAGATCTTTCCAGAAAAGATCCCACAGCTACCTGAGGACCTCTTCAAAAGCCTCATGTTCTCCCTGGAGCTGGGAATGACCTCGTATCCTCCGCTGCTGTGTGTGAGACAGTGTGTGCACTTGTGCGGAATTGGTTTATGACTGTGCAGATTCACTTAGAGACGATTGATGCTCTTGTTGAGTCGCTTTCATAGCTGAATATTGAGAGTTAAGTTCAGACGGTTAGTGTCAAAATCTCGCTGAGATTCATGCTCTTCTTTTCCTTATCTCTGACCAGACGGCTTAAATTATATTTTTGTTCTTCTACTGCAGGTTGTTTATAGAACATTTAATATTTGAAGAACTTTGGCCGCTTCTGTTAAATGGAGAAGGGGATTTAATAGAAAAACATACTAACATTCCTCGTAGTGAGGTAGTATTTTGGTTTCTGTACTGAAACACTGGCAGTGTATCTGCAAAATTTCAAACCATACAAAGTCCTAGGAGCCTCTTAAAATAGATAAAGTAAATAGTCTTTCAAAGTCACAGTGTTAAATCACTATTTCACATACATCTCTCATATTATTACTAGTTTAGAACTAGACAAGTCTGTTCAGTAGAGATTATTTGCTTCAAAAAAGTTATTTCACACTGTAACGTTGCAGGTGCTCGGACCAAAACCTTACAGAACATATATTGTCAGATAGCCTGAATCTTAAAATGTGGCTGCAGCAGAGGAGAGTTTCACCTACTGATAATAATTACCTACATTTCTGGTCATCAGTGTTTAGATTTGTCACATATTGCCTCTTGCTTCCATCTGGAGCTGCCAGATGCGTTGCGGTGTGAGGGAGGAGCCCCTGTTCAGAAAAAAAGAAGCTAATTGTTATGTAGATTCTGCTTCTTAACGTCTGTGTTCAGGATGAGTTCAGAGATCAGCCAGCTGTGTTTGGAGGCTTTGTCTCCTCTGGCTGAGCAGTGTGCTAAAAACCAGGAGAAGGACACGCCTCTCTTCATCGCCACCCGTCACTTCCTCAAGGTATTACACACACACACACCTGGCTGGGCTGCATTTTTACCACAATAAAACATGTAAACGATGTGTAACGATCAAATCTGCCAGAACAAGACTTACAAAACACAACACAGAGTCAAAAGAATAAAGTACCATAGATTTTTGACAGTTAAGCAAAGACAACTTGATTTGAACAAATGTGTTTTTAGAAAGCTGCAATTGAAACAGAAGTGAAACATCAATACGTCTATGCTGTCGAACTGTAGAATCCATGTTCTTGAAAAACTAATTTTGATGTACACTTTTGCTTCATCATTTTTCCTTTTCACACCTTGTACTCTGTCGTCCGTGCCTCCAGTTGGTGTTTGACATGCTGGTCCTGCAAAAACACAACACAGAGATGACGGTGGCAGCAGGAGAAGCCCTCTACACACTCGTGTGCCTGCACCAGGTAAGTAAATAACACACACAACCTGCCAGCACCAGGATGCTCCTGTGGTTCAACCTGTTCATATCCAAAGGAGAAAGTCTGGGTTATTGCTGGTTGATAGTAAAAAAAATATAATACAAATGGGTAAGGTTAATATCGGAGATATTGGCTTATAGAAAGCTGGATAGTGCTCACTGAACAACTGGTTGGTTTGTTGCTTTGTAAAATTACCTGAAGGCTTTTTAGATTGGTCATTTAATGGTGGTCTGAGCTTTTGTGCTCTTTTGATGTGATTTATCCTGCAAGAGAGACAGAGATCTCATTTCTAAAGTTGTCCTCTTGTCAAATACAGAATTACAGGTGCTGGTCATATAATTAGAATATCATCAAAAAGTTGATTTATTTCAGTAATTCCATTCAAAAAGTGAAACTTGTATAATGTATACATTCATTCCACACAGACTGATATATTCCAAGTGTTAATTCCTTTCCATTTTGATGATTATAACTGACAACTAATGAAAACCCCAAAATCAGTATCTCAGAAAATTAGAATATTGTGAAAAGGTTCAATATTGAAGACACCTGGTGCCACACTCTAATCAGCTAATTAACTCAAAATACCTGCAAAGGCCTTTAAATGGTCTCTCAGTCTAGTTCTGTAGGCTACACAATCATGGGGAAGACTGCTGCTTGACAGCTGTCCAAAAGACGACCATTGACTCCTTGCACAAGGAGGGCAAGACACAAGAGGTCATTGCTAAAGAGGCTGGCTGTTCACAGAGCTCTGTGTCCAAGCACATTAATAGAGTCAAGGGAAGGAAAAGATGTGGTAGAAAAAAGTGTACAAGCAATAGGGATAACCGCACCCTGGAGAGGATTGTGAAACAAAACCCATTCAAAAATGTGGGGGAGATTCACAAAGAGTGGACTGCAGCTGGAGTCAGTGCTTCAAGAACCACCACGCACAGACATATGCAAGACATGGGTTTCAGCTGTCGCATTCCTTGTGTCAAGCCACTCTTGAACAAGACACAGCGTCAGAAGCGTCTCGCCTGGGCTAAAGACAAAAAGGACTGGACTGCTGCTGAGTGATCCAAAGTTATGTTCTCTGATGAAAGCAGATTTCATTTTCCAACAGGACTTGGCACCTGCACACAGTGCCAAAGCTACCAGTACCTGGTTTAAGGACCATGGTATCCCTGTTCTTAATTGGCCAGCAAACTCGCCTGACCTTAACGCTATAGAAAATCTATGGGGTGAAGAGGAAGATGCGATACGCCAGACCCAACAATGCAGAAGAGCTGAAGGCCACTATCAGAGCAACCTGGGCTCTCATAACACCTGAGCAGTGCCACAGACTGATCGACTCCGTGCCTCGCCGCATTGCTGCAGTAATTCAGGCAAAAGGAGCCCCAATGAGCTGTGCATGCTCATACAACATTTCTAAAAATCCTTTTTTTGTATTGGTCTTAAGTAATATTCTAATTTTCGGAGATACTGAATTTGGGATTTTCATTAGTTGTCAGTTTTAATCATCACAATTAAATGAAATAACATTTGAAATATATCATCTGTGTGTAATGAATGAATATAATATCCAAGTTTCCCTTTTTGAATGGAATTACTGAAATAAATCAACTTTTTGATGATTTGATTTATTTTGGGCTGAAACCCACCATCAAGGATAGACTTTATATTAATAGACAAATTTCAAGCAGTAACTTTGCATTGCTGGCTACCTAAACTGTGAAGACAGCCAAATATAACATGTTGAATGTCTCCACGAGAGGAGAAATCCTTCTATTAGCGGTCCAAGTTTTAAATATGACTAAACATCCTGTTTGGAAGACAAATTATAAAACTTAAAAAGAATTTAAGTTGATTTGAGATGTAAATACAACTTGTTTTCACACAGTATATTTATTAATCAAACAGGATTGTAGAAAATGTCAAGCTGTTATTTTTCAGTATGCAAGTAAAGATTAACAGTAACAATTTTCATAAAGGAGGTCTGACCTACTCTTAACACTGTCATGTAGTGGCCAGTCTGCGTCATAGCATATAACTCAGACAGCAGTACAACAGTACATAACTTGTGCAGAGTTTCAGTTAGAGATTAATACATATTCATAAAATACTGTAATGTAAACAAACTAACAAAATGAATTAAATAAATATGTAAATAATAAAACATCTTATTGCAGTTAAAAGTCATAAGAAGAGTCATCAGCTACTAACAGTGTTGTTGTCTCAATGAACGTTATGCTCACTATTTATGTTGGTGTATTTAGTTTTTAGTACCATTTTATTTATTGAGTTATTTTCCTGCTTCACTTTTATAGACTAGATTTGGTATGGATGTATTACCAAACATTTTTTGACAGATTCATATTTATGCATCTGATCAGTTATGCTTCTGTTCAGTTTCCCTGCTTGGCATCAATAAAGATGATCTTGTCTTAGTAATAATGATAGTTGATTAATGCTACTGAAACAAATTGCATACCCCAGCTTTAAATAATAAAAAGCCAATACTTGAATTTTGAGCTCAATATTTACATCTGATAACAAGCTGATTATTTAAGACATGATTTAAACAAATGTTTGGGCATTTTATGCCTTTTATTTTGAGATGACAGGAAATGGAAGGAGACTGTTGTTAAAGATCCTTTATATTTTATTTTTAGAGAATTGTGACATTATGTACAACATTTTACAGCTGAAAAATAAACTTGTCAGTGCTCTCTGGTGGAGAAACAATGTCATCAAGACACTTACAACTCAAATAATATTGGCTCTATTATTAAATCTCTGAGCTTTGACCCTGAGCTGGTGGCGTGTTCCTCCTCTCTGTCAGGCGGAGTACTCGGAGCTGGTGGAGACTCTGCTCTCCTCACAGAGAGACGCCGTCATCTACCAGCGGCTGGCAGACGCCTTCAACAAGCTGACGGCCAGCAGCACGCCGCCTACCATGGACCGCAAGCAGAAAGTCGCCTTCCTCAAGAGCCTGGAGGAGTTCGTGGCCAACGTGGGCGGCCTGCTCTGTGTGAAATAACCACTGGAAACCCCCTTCGCCTCAAATCATCGTTTTGAAAAGTAACCAATCAAAGACCCCCTCTGCTTCATCCCTAAGAACTATGGGTAGAGGCGACAGCTGGAAGCCTCTGAGGACTTCTCTGTCTCTCTACCTGCTGGGGAATCCATCTCATGCCTGAATGTTTACCCTGTTCTCACCTCCTCGGATTTCTTTTTTGTTTTGTTTTGGTTTTCCTCCCCTTCAGCATGATTGACAGACTTGATGATGGTGATGATGTGGTAACCACGTACACTGAAATGCAGAGCAGACGGACTCAGCCAGAGGATCCTGCCCTGCTGACTAAAAATGACGGAGCACTGACCACCATGATGACAAGAGGTGGAACAGCAGCTTATGTTGTTGACGCCGGTGTCCTCCCCCTCCAACACCTCATGTACCTGGAGGCCGCGCGTGCGCGCGCACACACACACACACACACACACACACACACACACACACAGTGACACTGAGAGTAAAACAAGTTGCTGTTTTTGGAGATGTTTTTTCCAGTGTGAGGTTTTGTAGTTGAAGGTATCAGAGGGGCCATTTTGTGTCAAGAATGTAATGGCAACCAAACCCCATGCACACAAATGCACACAAACACACACACAAACTTCTTTCTTTAAGTTTCCTTTCAGACACACAAGCACACAAGCCGCCCCAATCCTTCCCAGAGTGCCTTTGTTTTGTTGAGGGTTTTCTCTGTGTGTGTGTGTGTGTCTGTGTGTAAAAATCATGTCATACATCAACTGACAACAAATAACGACTGTGCCTGCCGTTCGCCAAGAATCCAGCGAATGAACACACACACACAGAAAAACATGGACACACACACACACACACACACACACACAGAATGTTGCCGTGACAGCAAAGGTTGTCTTTGGGGTTTGCCTCACAACACAGGAGGGATGTTTGTTTGGCGATGACAGAAAAGCAAAATCGGATTGTGTTTCTCAGAAATAAAAAAACATATATAAAATGTATGTGTTTTCAATTCAGAAACCGTGAGAGTTGTATGTCAAAGAAAAAAAAAAACATGACTGAAATGTTTTTATAAGCCTGCAGACAGCAGGAAGAGTTAGGAGTTCAACATTGTATGAATTCAGCTAAAGAGGGAGCACCTTTCTGTGACCTTTTTTTTTTTTCTTCTCTTTTCTTTGCGGCTTCTCTATTTGGATTGTAGTATTATGGTGCAGCCCCACCACCTCCAGACAGATCAGGGGCCCCCACCTCGAGTAGGATTCGGCTATTAAAGTTCAGCAGATTCATTTCAGTAGTATTTTTCTACAGCAGCACGTCCACCGTATCACTCTTCATCACACACTGGATTCACACAGAGACTGTTTGAGTTGAAGGACAGCAATAACAAACCAAATAAAAAGGAACAGAGCCACTTGTTGAAGCATTATGTTGGAGACAGAATCCTCCTCGTTCAGAGCACTATCCTGGTTATTGTAGAATGGCTGTTTTGTTAATGAAGTGTAAAAGTGTACATAAAGTTATTATATAAAACGTTCTGGCCAATGAATTTTCCTTCACAAGTGTCATGTCTGTTGTAAAGTCTTTTTATCCACTTCAGAAATGAATCACCAAGACAAAGAAACAGGATTTTCAAGGTAACATATCCGCTTGCTTAAGGACACAACTTACAAGTAAATCGACTCAGCTGTAAATATTTCAAGCGTTTCATCTGTGTATAAATGAACTAAACAATATTACACAAAAATACATTTTAGAGAGGCAGAGTCTATCCTAGACTAGACAGTTTCTTAGAAGTTACCCAGGGTGTTTGCAGGATTTATCAACTGAGAGTGTTTGATTATTTTTTATGTACAATTGTAATGCTTAATGAGGTCATTTATGCACATCCCAGCATGATATCAGGTCTGTACCTGTAGGCAAAAGGCAAATCTCAAGAGAAAAAGGGGCCACACAATGACAAGATGCTCCCACAAAGTACAAGTTAAGTACAATTACATGTCAATATAAAATTTACAACACAGAGTGTAGCTGTTAAATTGTTAATTTTTAACACAGGTAAAATATACATTCAGTTTATTAGGTACACCTGTAAAACAAGGTCAAACTAATGCAGTGTAATACAGCAGTCCTGCAATACATCTTAGACAAATACATAATGTTCAGGTTTTGTTGAAACTGAAATGCTGATTGAACTGTACACACATGTGGAGGCTGTAGTTTGTGGTGCTGTTGAGTTGTATTGTGTTACACTGACAGGTGTTTGTGTGATTTTGTTTACCCAATTTATATCAATGACATTATAACCTTCATGAAAGTAGGATTTATGACTGGACTGTTGGTATATTAGACTGCATTAGTTTAAATTAGTTGTAGCTAATAAACTGGCAACTTAGTTGATTAAAATTAAGACAATATTTAACTATATCCAACACCTTGACTTTAGATATTGTCACACATTTCTAAACTTTCTCAGGATTTGCTTCTCACTCCGTCTTTATTTTATTTGCTTCCAATGTTTGATTTCCTGAAAACTGAATGCTACTGTATGTACCTAAATGAGCCTGCCAGACTCTATACAATAAATATTCAATTTAAGGCCATATTCAGGTTTAATCTAAATCCCCACACACACATCTGAAGAGAGTTAATTACAGATTAAAAATAAACATCCTTGTGTGTTTCTCGGTTTGTCTGCTGGTCTTTGTATTGTCCCTCCGCAAGAGCCGTACTTTCTGGAACTACGTCATAATCCCGCGACTTACTCACATGTTCACAACACAGTGGAGAGTAAAGTGCTCATCGGGACCAGTTTTCCTACCAGGTGTGTTCACTTTTGTGTTATTTTTCAAAACCTTTGGCTTGTTTACCTGCTAATCAGTGGACGCCTCGTAAGTGAAGTTGATTTTATTCAACCGGTAGTTAATTTGGAGTATAAAGTGCCTTCATTGCTGTCATTCATTCATCAGACATTTTCCCTCACAGGTGAGGATTCCTACGGTCTTGTTCTTATTAAATAAACACGTCAATAAATCAAGACTGCTAATCAGAACTGCTTATAATTTTTTAACCGAGTAAGTTGTCTGTGTCTCATTTATAAACCGTGGTGGAGAATAACTTTAACGACATTTACCCAGCAGAATATAATAATATAGTCATCAACAGTAGCCCACTTTTATCAGCTATACATGGTGATGTACACATTAATGCATCGGTAATTGTATTACAATGATATAATATATTGTTTTTTAAAAAAGGGCCATTCTGCAGAATTTGTTCTTTTGGTACTTTTACTAAGGTTATATTTTGAATGCAGGAGTGCTACTTTTACTTAAGTACAAGATCTGAGTACTTCTTCCACCACTGTATATAAATAAAATAAAACAATTTAGAGAACATAAATGCTTAAAATATCTGTGCTGGTAAATAAAGTTTGAATCAGTGTTTTACAGAGGCAGTGAAGAGGTTTTTTATCAGTAATCAGACATTTTTTCTGTAGTCGATGTTTCACTGAGGGTTTATGAGTTTTAAATGTCACAAGGGAGAGTCTGCATTTCTTTGTTTCTTCAATGTGACTCATTATCTTTGAAGTCCTTTTTAGAGCCTAATATAAGAGAATTGTGGCCAAAACAACATCTCAAACAAAGCTTAAAACAACTCAGAACCAAATTCATGGATGAACAAAACTACAAAAGTAACACAACAGTGAAGTAAAATCACTACGTGTCTGATGCTGTGTGTGAGTGGTGTAATCTGGTCTCTCTTGCAAGAGAGATCTCAGTCTTAATTAGATCACCTGATTAAATAAAGGTTATAAAATGACAATAATAATAAAAAGTAAAACAAAGGCCCAATGGCACTAGTGTAAGATACAAGAAGGAGAAAAAAGGTTTGTTTGTTATAAAGAATCTGTAGATCGACATACATTGTCAAACCTGCTAAATACACTGCTAAAGGCCTTATGTTTAAGGCTGTGGAGTTAAAACAAACGTGGTGTGAAATGTGTAACATGGAGTTGGACTCAATACCACAATATTAGAATGCAGATATATATTCAAATTACTTATTTTGTAAGTATTTGCTTACTCTTTTCTTGGTATTATTAGTGTGGACAACAGGTGTTTTGTAAAACTATAACACGGTTTGATCATGTAGGGCTGCAACTAACGATTGTTTTCACGGTCGAACAATCTGTTGATTATTTTCTTAATTTTTTGGTCTGAAAAATGTTGATCAGTGATTCCCAAAGCTCAAGATGACGTCCTCACATGTTTTGTTTTGTCCACAACCCAAGGATATTCACTTTACTGTCACAGAGGAGTAAAAAAGAAGAAAGAAAATATTTGACATGTAAGAAAAGATTCACATTTAAGAAGCTGGAAGCAGAGAATTTGAACCTTTTTTTTTTTTTAATTACTCAAACCAATAAACTGATTATCAAGATGGTTATGAATTTAATAGTTGACAACTAATCGTTTCATCGGTGCAGCTCCAGTTGTCACTTTATGATTCGACTACAAGTCAAAAACGATTATTTGAGTTACTGCCCAGCTCTAAGATCTAAGCTCTACGTCAGCATACATCCACTTATCGTGTAATTATATATAATTTATTAAGCCACCCGCTGGCTCAAATGCACCAGTTAAAAATATCAGCAACAATATTTTCCTTATTCTTTCAGGTTTTGAGCTCTTTCAAAATCAACCATCTCACCCTTCATCCCTTAAGGACAGCTCCTCCTCCTCCTCTCCGTTAGCCATGAGTGACAGTGACGATGACGTCCCTGCGCTGTCGGCTCACACTCTGGCCGCCCTGCAGGAGTTCTACAACGAGACCAGCACCGGTCCAGCACCATCAGACCAGTTCGCTGTGGGAGCACTGGAGGAGGACTGGGTGAGTTTACTGGATTCAGTGACAGGAGACAGTAAAACTGACACTGCATCAGTTCTGTGTTTTATTCAGTAGAGATGCTGAGCAGACGCTGCAGATGTCAAGAGGTGTATCAGCAGATTTGATTGGCTTATCACGGATATATTGTATTGGTGTATATCTGAATCAAAATAATAAAACTATTTGTACAGCACTTTAAAAAAAAAAAAAAAAAAGTTATGAAATCCTTTACATTGTTGAACCAAGAAGAGAACATTTCAGGACAGAAGCCAATAAAATCAGGCAGTTGATTTAATACAGTAATAAAATAAAGTGAAATAACAAAACTCCAACCATAAAGATGATTACTAATAATGAAATAGATATATTGGCAATAAAACAAGATAAAATAACAGATATAAATAAAATAAAACAAATCCTGTTTTATTAGACCAACAGTCCAAAACCCCAAAGATATCTAGTTTCCCCTCATTTAAAAATAAAATAAAAGCAGCAAATCCTCACATGGATGAAAAGGCACTGTTTGTATATATTGTATATATTCGAAAGCTGAAATTACAGTATGTCTTCCCATTTCTGGAGACCAAGAAAGTTGTGAATGAAAGAAAATGACTGATCAAAATAATTCCTCATTAATTTTCTGTTTGATTAATCGATCAGTCTGTGCTGACACAATTATTTGATAAATCAGTCATCAAGTATATAGCAAACATTCAGTGATTTCAGCATCTCAGTCTGCTGCTTTTCTGTATTTTCGGTGAAGTGAAATAATACACTCTGAGGTCCTGAAAAATAGACAAGATGGAAGCGAAAAATTCACCAACAGAAAGGAGGGTGGCGTTACACAACTCGTTATAAAACTTCAATAAAGTGGGGGAAAAAATCACTGATAAGACAAATAAGTAAGTGATAAACATTAGTTGTGTGGAGCCTTAGGAATATACAGAATTATTGTTCACTCACTATATCTTTGATAGATCACTTTTGATGGCCATCTATTTTTATTATAACATTAATAGTTTAAGTTATTTTATCATGCAAAAATGCCAAGCTTCTAAAATGTGTGATGATGTGCTGTTTTTCTTAGTTTTATATTGGTTAAAATGTTTTATCTTTGGGTTTTTGACTGTTGGTTGGACAGAACAAGACATTTGAAGACATCACTTTGGACTTCTTTCAGGATTTTTGCTCTGACATTTTATAGGCCAATTAATCAACAAATTAATTGATAATGAATGTAATCATTGAGCAGCCCTAAAGTAAATGGTTTTGGCATCGGATAAATAATTCACTATTGGGTCAGGTTCAAGTGTAAATGTTACTTCTAGTTCTCACTTTTATTTCAGATTAATGTCACTAAAGTAAACAAATGTGGGGTGTGTGTGTAGATGCTGAAGTGTGCCGCGCTGCAATCAGATTAATATATTTAATGTTGTTGGTAAAAGTTCTCTGTCTGTCTATCTGTGTGTGTGTGGTCCCACTAGCGGATGAGCCAGTTCTGGTACAGTGACAAGACGGCAACTCAGTTAGCTGAGGAAGTCATACGTGAAGCTGGAGAGGGAGGCAGGTAAAACAAGAAAATCCTAACAAAACATATTTCTGTTCCACCAGATGTTCCTATAACTTTTGCTTTACTTCTTGTGAATTACTATGAAAGTTTCCTACCTGGAGCCTGAAAAAAAAGTTTGGGAACCTCCACTGGCCTGAAAGATTCAGAGTAAAGTTGTTGTGTTTGCATTTCTTACTCGAACCAGCCTGTCGTGCAGCTCCAGTGCATTCAGGTCTACTTTCTGACCCTGTGGGTGTAGAAACTGGTTTGTCTTTAGGTTTGATCGATTCTCATCATTCAACATTGGTGCAAAAGCAGCTACAGAAAGAAGTCCTCTCAGTTTCGGAAGGACCGAATATCTGTTTGACCAGTTTCACACACAAAAACATGAAAAGTCCACAAAGCATCAGACTACAACCAGAAATATTTAAGCTTAATTTCTAAATGACAGAGTTTGTATGAAAACTGTCTTCATGTTTTCTTTTTCTTACAGGATAGCATGTGTGAGCGCGCCCAGTGTGTACCAGAAGTTGAAGCAGGGCGTGGTGGACGGCTCGGATCGGGTGTCTGCCATCGTCTTGGAGTACGATCGCCGATTCGCCGCCTACGGTGACGACTTTGTCTTCTACGACTACAACGAGCCGCTGTCTCTTGGGGCCAACTTGCCTACTCAGAGCTTCGACATCGTCCTCGCCGACCCGCCGTATCTGTCAGAGGAGTGTCTGAGCAAAGTGGCTGAAACAGTCAAGTACCTGAGCAAAGGCAAAGTGCTGCTGTGCACAGGTGAGAGGAGGATGGACAGTTTGTATCTCTCATGTAGTATTATTATTTATTACTACATTATAAAGTCACAGAAATGAGCACCTGTTTTTCTTAAAGATAAACCCCTGATGATCTTTTTTACTGCAGTTATAAGAGACTAACCATCTGGACAAAAAATATTTCATCCTCTGTAAGATTAAAAAGGGTTTTAACTTGTCTCCAGAGTTGCAAGTTTATTTCCTAATGATTCAAATATGAACCAAAAATGTTATTTTAAAAGATTAGCAGGAATGTTTCTTGCAGAAAATACTAATTATTAAATATATGGGAAGCATGAACTGGGACACTGTGTCAGATAGTATTGTGCAAACTCATTTTGGCTCAGAGACAAAAAGATTAAGCTGAATAGATCAAATGATTATGTACCTCATGCTACTAATCTACAGTGGTTTTCAAAGACAGAGACTGCGGGCCTCCCCTCAGACAAAGCTTGGGATTATGATTATATTATTTGATCCCATAGACATTCAACATTTGAGCCAAAATAGCCTAATACTGCTGTTTGGCAAAACTTCTTACTAAACCAAATAGTTTTTATTAGCATTTATTAGTTTCTGACACTGATGGGGGGAAAACAGTTCCCAAAAACTATTGTATCTCTGAACTCACACATGTAGGCTATTCTATGTGATCTCCTTTTGAAGTAATGTTATATTGTTTCATTTCCATTCACTGAGCCTCCCCTGAAACAGTTTGGAGTCTCTCTGGCCCGCCTCATACTTTGAAAACCCCTGACCTAGGAGTAAAGTGAAGAAAGAGGGTCATATATAATTAGACTTGTATAAAATTGCCACTTTTCTATAATTAATAATTTTTTGGTGTTATTTAATATGTAAGTTGGGTATTGTTTGAAGATTTTAATATCATTACCAATTACTGAGTTTTTTTATGTTCTGTTATACAATTAACGGACACCTGCCAGCCAATCAGAAGCCAGCGTTTTCAGTGGCTCTGGTATAACACACTGATGCTGTAAGCTCTGAATTAAAGCTCGGTAATCTTTAAAAATTGACATTTTACAACATTTTACCCTCTTTGTATAGAAGGTGTGGGTGTATCATCAATCTTATTATCCTAATGTTAAGTGTTCTGGTGCAGTGGGCGCATCGCTGTTTAACACTCTACTTTTTGTGTTTTTCTACACATACTGGCTTTAAACTAATATCGCTCGTGTTACACTCATGTGTCGATTTTTTGTGTGTGGTCTACAGGAGCCATCATGGAGAAACTCGCCAAAGACCTTCTGGATTTAAAAATGTGCAGCTTCCTGCCAAAACACAACAGAAACTTGTCTAATGAGTTCCGCTGTTATGTCAACTATCCGTCTCGCCTGCTGTCCTGCTGAGGAGCCGAACCCCCGTCAGACCGACAGCTCAGGGAGGACGTTTCCCAGCACAGTGCTTTAAAACAGTGGTACTGTTTTCTTGTACTGTTGAGGAATGAAAAGATGTTTGAAGACCTGCAGCAAAAGTGGAAATTTTCTGTGTTGATTTTAGTTAACACCTAAGAAATTACAAAGGGGGGGGGGGAGTCTCAAGACTCAAAGAAAGCTTGTATTTGGCAGCCGGTCGGCTTTCTTCAAAAATCATTGACAATAATTTTAATGTAACGCCAAATATTTAGTGGTTTCAGCTCCAACGTGATGTTTTGCTGCGTAAATTAAATACATTTTGGGTCCTGGACAAAACACTTTTGAAGATGTCACCTTTGGCTCTAGGAAATTGTGATGGACATGTTTCACCATTTTCTAGACCTTTTAATGATCTATTGATTAGTTTACATCAGTCAATTAAAGGTAAACTACACATGGAGCACTAATCAGCCTGTAAACAGATGTATAATGTCCTGTCACTCTTGAGGTACCTGTCAACACCGGAAGATTTTTTTTTTAAACAAAAAGCAAGTATTTTACTAACTCAGCGTAGCTCCAACAAACTTTAATGGGAGTCTGTAACATATGGACAGCTCCTCTACCAGACACCTGGAGTGGTGAACAGTTCAGCTAGAGAATAAACAGTTTCTTACATGATTCATTTGATTCTTCAGAGGATGCACAGAGGCACAAACTGTTCGGTATTTAACCAAAAAAAAGCTGGAAGAATAAAAAAAAAAGGAAAGATAGTATTTTTTGTAATGGGTGGGTTTATTTTCTTCTCCCCTTATAATAATCTGATGATCACAACGGCTGACATACTGCTGCTAAACCAATTGATATCTGGAATTTTGAACCAGTTCCAGTTTCCTGAAAATACAAAAGGACACTGGGAAATGTGCTAAAATCTTAGTTGTACAATTGCTGGGAGAGGTGAGCTAACTCTGCAGACTGATGTCCAGAAATGTCAAAGAACTGCAGTCATCTGGAATAGTTGTTGTTTTGATGACAAGTTGTTATTGAAGTGTGTCGGAATAACAATGAATGTAATGACCAGAGCAAAGATGCAGTTGGGGTTTTCTTTTTTTTTTTTTTTTATGTTTTTACATCTGTAGGTGGCAGCATTGATCAGGTCACTGATGATAATGAGGTTTTTTTTTTGTTTGTTTGTTTTTTCTCCTCCCCCATTGGTCAATATTTGTTTGCTTCACTTTTTAAAGGGTTGGTCCACCTAAATTACAAACAACTATATATTATCATTCATTTTTAGTGGTTACTATCTATGCTGATAGTAACTGTCAGATTTTTCAAAACCTGTGCAAATAAAACCCAAACTATCTGCATGGCTAGACACAAGAAGGAAGTGAATATGTTCTCTGGTCTTTGGCTGAACAAACTCTTCAAATGTCATTATGTACTTCAGAGTTTCGTCTAGTTTTGTCTGGATTGTTTAGGTATTTCCTCTCCAGTTGTGATGTCTAGCAAATACAACAGGTGCACATCAGTTTGCCATACTTTGATTTTTACATCTTTGTACAACTTTAGTTCAAGACATCTTTATCAAGTCCAGGTCAATTCCATGTTTGTGTCCAGAGAAAGTCAAAAACAAGCCAAGAATGAAGGAAGACTAAATCAAGTCTTATTTTGTGTGAGACTGAAAGACAAAGTGTCCTCATTTGTTAACAGATGTAAAAAGTTTCTCATTGATGAACAGAGATGTAAATCACTCAAATATTCAATGTGTACTTGTTTAGGGACTCTTAAGTCCTTCTTCTTTTAGGTAGAGACCCTCAATTTTGTTTAGTGCCAGTGGAAGAAAAAAGAAACCAACAAAGGTGGATCTGTTGTAGAAGGACTTACCACAGCCCTGCTTCCTTCATACTTTCTTGCCCGCAGAAACAAGCTTCCTGGTTTTGGGCTTTGCCCTCCCCAGGCTCTGGTTGCTGTTTGGGCCATCCCGGTCCTTTTCCACCAGCGGCACACATGTGCACCCCACAGCAATGGAGACATAGATCTCGTTGTATACGTGGCGGCCTCCGATGCAGATGTCCATCCTCTTCAGGATAACAGAGGGAGCGTAGACTGGAGTGCTGCGGTACTGGTCACTCATCTCACCATGTGGCCCGATCAGGCAGCCCTTACACAGGCAGTAAGCTTCAGGGATGTAGCGGGGATATCTGGCCGGGTCATACGAGATCCTTGGGGGGGGGGGGGGGGGGGGTTTAACAGATGCATTTTTCCTTTGCAGAATCAGGGTATACACTTTAAGATAATTGCTGCCTTCAGTGCCATTAAATATGCCATAATTACAGGTCAGCTGCATGAACACAAAGTATTTTTGAAAACTTCCTGTAAGAAAACATCACTTTTTGTTTAACATAACTCAGTTAAGTTAATTCTCAGGGTTTTTGTTTTTTTTTAAATGAAGACATTCAGTAGGTGACTGGCATGATTGCTTTTCCTGCTGATGCAGCACAAAATCTATCAAATCAGAAGTGTGATTAAGGAGGAGCACTTGAAGCCAGGAGAGATACTGCTGATCATACAGTACAATGAAACTGATGACAAGATTTTTGCTTCAGTTGATTACTAAGATGAAGGATATAATTTATACTCGTGATTTCAAAACACACTGTGATATGTTAAATATAAGATGTTTTTAATAAAAGGGGTGCTATTCTACCCAAATATGTAAAAAAATAAAATAAAATAAAATCCACAAATTTAAAATTTATTTTTCAAACTGTGATAAAAACGGAGTTTACCAGTAGCCTTATATCATCTAGTGTACACTTTGTGATCTTTCTGCTGCATCTTTTTTTTTATTTTTTACTTGACCTAGATAGTTAGGCTGTTTACTAGTTTATGTTGACATTTTTTGCTGTATGTTAAAAAAAAATGAGGCAATCTAAATATAGGTAGGGATAGTCTATTGTACTTGGGTTGTAAGAGCAAGCCATTAAACTTGTATTAAGATTTGAACTTTGGCGCAACCTACCCACATCTTGATACTTTACTACTACTTTACAAAGCAACATTTGTTTTGTTCATTTCAGGTTATGTGGGGGTATTATCAGACATTTCCATTTAAGAGGTCTGTCATTCATAAAGCTGATATGATCAAAAGGATCTGAAAGTGGTACCATAACATTGATGTCATTAAAACTTTGAATAGTTCACACCGCAAATTGTGACAGACTCAATATATTCCTTTAATGTTCCACCTGCTCTCACCTGTAGGCCCAGGGGGAAATGCTGAGCAGGTTGACCGGGAGGCGGGTCTTTCTGTCGGTCGGGGACCGGGCGGTGATCGGGCAAGTCAGGTTGAGTTTGTCCTGCGGCTCCAGCTCCAGGGCGTGGTGGAAAGCGCTCATAACTCCCACCGTGAGCCGCCCGAACATCTGCTCCAGGATCTCGTCTGGTAGGTCGGTGCAAGACCGTCTCCCGGTGGCCTTCTTTCGTACCCGGCCCCCCCAAACTGCCCCGGCCTGCCAGGCCAGCAGCAGCACAACCAGATGCAGCAGCAGCAGGGCGCGGATCCGATGCGGCATCACGTTGCGCTTCTAGGTACGGTGTTGTGCCAAAATGCGTATCCACTGAAAAAAAGTCTCTCTGCGCGCTGTGTTATCGCCTTCTTTGCCCTTGCCTTTCTCAAAAGATGATCAGTAGATTATCAGAAACCAATTGACCTTCGTTAATGAGACAGACTTTCCTCTGTTAAAATCCAGTGAAGTGTTGGAAGCGATGGAGTGCCAGCGGTAGGCAAACAGTCCAGAGTCCTGGCTTGGAAACCGAGGCAGAGGCGTGCCGCAAGTGAAACTGCACAAACATATTTGGCACAACGCGCCCACAGTGTCTCCAGGGCTAATAATTTCCCTAATGGAATTAGAAATTATTTTCGAGTTAGTTCTGCGTTCTGTTTTAAATCGAGAAAAATGCACCCAGGGGTGTTTTCTTGTTGCTTTTCTCCAGTGATGTGTGCGTAAAATCCGATGGAAGCGTTTGTACGCGCGGGAACAGAGTGATCCACCATTCAGAACGAGTCTAAATCAAACTGACATACCGGCAGATAATGTCCCCTCTTAAACCTCTAGCTCCCATAATAACAGATGGGAGTGGGAAGTCCAAACTTTTGGCTGCGCGCACTGCTGGATCCTGGCTTCACACCAGTCTGACTCTTAAGTCACATGTTTGTGTTTTCATGCACCCATTTTTCTGTCACTTAGTATGATGTGTACTGTAAATGTATGTCATTAAGATCTGTCAGCTGCCTTGCCTGCTACATTAACATCTCAGATTGTTAGTGTGTGCTTTAGAAAGACTCAGACCTCAGTGTTATCTGAAGGTTATTGTGCTCAGAATGAAACATTGCAATGTTTTTCTTAAATAAATAAAATATTTTCCCTTTTAATTATATAAATGAACAACAAATAAATTAACAAAACAATAAATATTACCCCACAAAAAAACATTTTTGAAACATGTAAAATGGAACAGGACCTGAAATGGATGGATTACATATGTTTGTTATATGGTGTTGATGGGTTTTGCAGAAGGTTCTCAAACTCATGGAAACACACAGTGCAGTCAAAAATATTAGGATAGCGATATTTTTTAAAATAATTGTTTTGGCTCTGAAGTTGACTGGGACTTTAAGACTTTAAATGCGTTTTAGGTTGTTGACATCCATATTGGGTGAACACTAAAGAACTCGTAGACCTTTTACGCTTGGGAGGAACACTATTTCCAAAAAGATCTATAAATTCTACACAAGTCATCAGATATGAATGTAAACACATTCAAATTAAAGTTGAATGTCAGAACTTTATAGGCTCATTGTGATAGTTTCATTCATTTCAAATTCATTGTGCTGGAGTACAGAGCCAAAACTGCACTGTAACCAGCTTTGTGTAAAACATTATTTGCATTCATTCCAATGTATATACATATTCCTCTGTTAAAAATATATGTATAATAATTTACCTTTAAGAAATCAGCGGTCAGCCTTTCTGTTTTCCAAGCAAAGTTATTCAGATGTAAGGCAAAGATGACCGATCTGATAGGTAAACACATCTCACTCCTACACTCGGAAGTGGAAATAACACCGGTCCCTCATTGATGCCCATGAAAAATAAAAATCTTTATCCTGTAACGTTTGTGTTTTTGTTGCTGAAGAGGTGAGTTTAAAATGTTTTGGTTTTGTGGTTAAACTTTGTGCTCTTGCCTTTCAAAAGGTGACAAGAGAGCAAATGTTCCCGACAGTGCAGTGAAGACAGAGGGTAGAAGCAGCTACTCTGGCAGCAGGTCATCTCCCAGCTCTTCATCTGCAAAGTCGTCGTCCTCCACGCGTCTCTTGGCTCCCGTCTTTGGTCTCTCCATCTGAGGCCCAAGTGGGTCCACATAAGACGCATCTACACGAGAGGCACAGAGGTTTTACTTGTTATGAAATGTCGTGGCCCCGTTTTCTGATAACAACCAATCTTGTCTCCAAGAGCTATTTTATTTAACCAGGAAGTCCCTTGAGATTGAAATCTATTTTCCAAGGGAGACCTGGCTAACACAGCACAACAGTTAAGTAGAAAAAAAACAAAAAACACAAGAGACAGGGAATGTGGAGATAATGAAGATAATGAAGATAATGTGCAGCACACAGTTTATAATTCATGTTACTGGGTGGAAGTCCATTTAAGAAAGTCCATTTTGTTTGAGTTACTCTTAAAACTTAAAATAAATCAAAAATTAAGTAGTGGTGGTTTCATGATTGTATTTATTTGAATATGCTATTGAGAATGTCATTGTTTCTGTATTAGACCTGCTGTATTTAAGCCTGTGGCAAACAACATATGTACCATAAATAAAGGGAAGTGAAGATTTGGACCTCGTGTGTAAGTATAAGCTGGTAAACCATAATTAATATATTTTTTTAAACAATAAAAACTTCAGTAGAAAATGTAGTTTTTGGTTCCTCTTGTAGGTTCCAGACCTTCTTTAAGATGCTGTTAGCCTCCTACGTTTAGGAAAAGTTACTCGTCAATTCACAATCATTTTTTAAGAGCGTCTTCAGTTACCATGTTTTTGGGGAACACCTCTTAAACTTCAGAAAGTTCGAAAGACAGAATTTACGACCATCTTAACCTTAAGAGGCTTTTGGGAAACGAGGCTTTGATCGGTCTATGAAGAATTTCACTCATCCAGGTAGTAGGTAATCTTTAAGTACTCTGCCAAAGGGAAAATGAGTTTGCCATTTAGTTTTTCCTTTTAAGATGAAGAAAATAGATAAGTATGCAGATTGTGTGTTCTCTAGCTGTCTCTTAGTTGTCACTGTAAGAGCCGTTTGTTTTTTAAATCTGCGATTGACCATAAGAAGACAAAGTATTTTCTTCTCCTTGTTATGAAGTATTGTTGGCAACTTTCCATTTGAGCGACTTGAAATGGCAACAAGAGCTGCAGACTCTGCATGAAATGGTTATGTGACTGTCAAAAATACATACTAGACAATATATGATTGGCGGTCGAGGTGTCAGTGAACCTCAAGAACACAAAAGACAAAAAAAGAGAACAAGTTTGACAACTTATATTATGTAATTAATTACAGAGGGATAGAGAGGTTTCCTCACCTATTTCTTTTGGGCTGCTGGCCTCGTAGGGCTCATTGGAACCAGGAAGTGACCTCATCTTGGCACTCAGCCGCTCTCCTTTAGTGCTGTTGCTGCTGTGTCCACTGTCTGCACAAAACACACATGCAGACACTCAGAATGTGCAAATGTACTGAATTATGACCTTTTTAAAAGCATCAGTCATAACCATAATCATTTGTTCTGATACAGTTAAAAATGTTTCTCAAAGCTATTTTGCTTGGGTTTAGTGAGAGACGTTTTACCTTGTGTGCATTTGTGGCTTGCATGTGTTTAGATGTGTGTGTGCAGGGCTCATTTTGGATTTCAAAACTAATTTACACAATGTAGGCTGCAAACTAAGCCATTCAATTATTCAGCAGAAGAACATTTGTCCCCAAAATGAATTTATCAACAGCTGACCAACTCCCTGTGTTCATATCACTGTTGTACGTGATGACTCTTGGCAGCCTTTCCATTTCAAATCCAACTAGATGAACTCAAAATTGCACTGAGGTCAAACTGAAAGTGAGTGTGCTTTTCTCACATTCTCAAAAGTCAACATGGTGGAGATGTGACATTTTTGTGTATCACAGTAGATTCCAACCATTTTTTTTTGACACACCCTCACAGCACACATCATGCTCCAAATGTATTGAACTTGTAGTGGCAGTAGTTGAATTTATCCTTTACATTTAGCCAGCTACAGTCATTTTCACATCTCTGCGTGCTTGTTAAATTGTTTTGTGGGAGGTGTGTTCTGTGCAGTTTGATTATTGTAGCTGGTAGTTTATTGGTACCTGTAACAAGAAATATGCTAAAGATCAGTATCACACCAATTTAAACATTCATTTTCCCCCTTAAACACAAATTTGTGGGGTATGGGTTTTTTTCTCCCCTCAGCATCATAGCTACTATTTTTTTTTCAAATTAGCTGAGCTACTGAACTGACTGAGCAGTTACAAGATACCATTTATCAACCAAACTGTAACAGGTTAATATCCCTGCAACAGTATTGCATCCTACTAGACTGCCTTTAAGCAAGACGCTGAATAACAGCACCAGCTCTCCTTATCATCTTAGACACAGAGCTGGTAACTCTTCAGATGTGATGAATATGTTGGGAGAATGTGTGTGTGTGTTCCAGGCTCAGATGACAGGCTAACAGAGCGCTCTAGTGAGCTGAAGGACAGACATGATTACAGACAGCAGGAGCACACATCTGGCTGCCAGGTAGCCTTGGAAACTGTTGCAAGCAAAAAGGCAGAAAGCTGAAAAACAGGAGGGAGGAGGAGGCCTGATATTCTACCTTCCCTCACAATCCCAAACATCTCACACAAGGCCTCACAAATTGCTGGCAAACTGAAAGCTCTGCTGGAAAATTAACTTTTTTTTTCTCCTTAGTTTTTCTTTTCTTGGATGATCTCTGGCATTTCTTTTTTATAATACACAACAGAGAGACACAGAAAAGGGGGATGACAGGTTAGAAGTCAAAATTAATCATGTGTAACAGTTTCCACAATTTGTATGTTTTATACGCCTCCACAGCACAAATGGCTATAACATTTGGCGAGGGTTTGAAAGAGACATTGATCTGTATCGATGAGTCAACTTATTGGCTTTTGCAACTCATTTTCCTTCAAACTTATTTGGAAAAACACTTTGAACACTAGTAGATCACAAAAGGGTCAAATATAAAGACAATACTGACTGACTAACGGCTGCTTCATGATAGCAGTGAAATACTACCCTGAATTTGTTGACTTATGTACACAGAGAGAACAGAAACACAACAGTTAAGAGAAAAAAACAAGTTCAAAAGCAAATACTGTAAGAAAAATGTTGGACCCTGGACCTCTCTCTTGCTCTGTGACAATGGTTTTTACCAGTATCAAAGAATGACGCATGTAAAAATGTGTGAGAAAAAAGAAACTCAGCCTTGACACACTCAGTGTACATTGCTGAAAATACGCAGACTTTACAGAAAAGAGGGAAAACTCTCAGGTGCACTAGAGGTTTTCTCAAATATCTGAAAAGAGGTTTGGCCAAATCACTCCCTCCTCCTCAGTGCAAACACAGACTGCAGTCCAACATCACAGCTTCCTGTCACAAGATTTCTGGACCAGTTTCAGGTGTTTTGACCATAAAACTATACTTAGGTTTCATAACGTATGTTTATCTTGGTAAAAACCATTGTAACCACTCACTTCTGCTGCGTCCCTTTGCAGTACTTCACTCAGATGGTTTTTAATAGTAAAAATGATTTTCATTCATTTTCTCGCACAGTACAATTGGGCACTTGCAGTACTTTTAATTTTAAGACACTTGTATTAAGCCAGTGGTGTTATGTTGTGCGTGTGTTTTTCATATTGGAATGTGGCTCCTTAAAGAGAAAGCCCACCCAAATTATAGAAATCACTGGACTGTATGATACTGCTCTGACTACAACATTTTAAAAGCAATAAAATGTAACTTTGTGGCCCTGCGATGGATTGGCAACCTGTCCAGGGTGTACCCCGCCTTTCACCCGATGTCAGCTGGGATTGGCTCCAGCCCGCCCACGACCCTGTACGCAGGATAAGCGGTTGACGATGGATGGATGAAAATGTTACTTCTCCATAGTACAAAATGTATGTGCAGAGAGTTTGTGATTTATTGCCAATAGTAATTTAGCTGATCACGAATAAAGGTTGTCAATTCTTCAAAATGGAAACTAATGCGGAAATTTTAAAAAATACTTGTGTTGCTGCAACGACACAAGGAGGAGTTTTTCATCAGCTCATTTGAGAGGAGGGAGAAAAATAAAAGAGTTATCTCTAACTGATTTAAGTTATTTTAAAAGACAGGTAACACTCCTGTGCAGTAAATAGAAAATACTCAGTTTAATTCTTGAGCAGTTTAAGATTGCTCTTGGTGGCAAAAAATACTTTCCAATATTTCCACCTGCAGGCTTCACTTATGATACACTTATGCCATTGATAATCTTACATACCTCTCCCTGAGTCCAACAGTGGACTGAGTTGTTTAGACTCAGATTGAGATACTGACCAGCAAAGAAGAAGAAGCAGGGTGAGAATACAAATGAAGCCGGAAAAGCCAGAGAAACAGACCGGCAGGAAGACAAAAAGGAAAGAAACATTACAGAGTTGGACTGGAAATCGTTGCACACAGATACAGAACACTAGCATGTGTAATAAGAGCTAATGAGAACTCATTTTTGGCATTTTATAACTTCCGTTCGCTCACCTGCTTTAACATCCATATCTGGTGTGCAGTAAGGAAGTAAGAAAAAGGTCTGAGGTTCAGTTAAACATCTTAAAAGTGTGAAAACCAATGTTGAAGGATACAAAGGATTGAGCATGTTAGATGATGCTGAAAAGCTTCTCTTTAAACAGATCCAGTTATAGCTCAGGCAGTACGAAACAAAATGGAAGAGGAAACGCACACAAGTTTGAGGATTTCTGATCTAATTTATCGCAACACAGGGGAATGATGGAAGTCTTGGCAGGGTGCAGCAACAGGCACATTAACAGGTGCGAGAGAGAGAGAGAAAAAAACACACACACACACACACACACACACACACACACACACACACACACCACCTTTTTTTTTTTTTTAAACTATACTACAGGACGACATTCAGCTGCACAAGAGAGAAAAGCTGGGTCTTGTTATAGATTTTGGCAACTCTCTAGTTTGTCTGGATTGCATTTGAGATATGCTGATGAGCCAGCTTTCCAGTGTTGGAGCCAGTCTAGATATGTGTCTGTATTTGTTGTGGATCTGTAGTGAAGGAGTGCTAAAACTCTGGAAGTTTGTCTTCTCTGGTGTCATCTGTGGCTTTAGGCTCTTTGTTTGTTCAGGACTCCTATACATTCTTATTCTACAAAAAGATGTGAGGCTACATATTCTTTCCACATCTTTCCAGTGTTTGTCTCCAAAAATGTTATGGGTAGGATGCAGGAATTCAGTCAACTAAGGAGGACCGTTAATCTGACCCAGAAAGGGCTTCGACCAGTTAAGTGACCCATTTGGGACTAGATTGGGAGATACAGCTACACAACAGTTCCTTTTATGGACTTAAAAATAAATGTACTTGTAACAGAACATGACTACAGCCCTCTACTCTAGTCAGGACTCAGTGGAGTGTATAGAGGTATACCCATAATGCTGGCCTTCTTGGGAGAGGTGAGGACAGGTGTGGAGACGCCTGCTGCTCAGCAGCATGTGTGAGCAAAGGATAGAAGAGAGAGGAAAGTGATGACATCCAAAAAAAAATAAAAATACAAAAAAAGACTGAAAATGAGGGTGGGCTAAACAGTATTGATTAAAGGTGCTAAATTCTAATCAAAACTACCTGCGAAGATTTCCTGAGCCTTTAAACTCAGTCTGGTTCTGGTGCTTACAATAAACCTTTCCACAATATTCTTATTTTTTGAGATGTACCAGTATATACCTATATATATATAGGATATTATTTTACTCATGCTGGTAGGGACTTGCATATACGTACAGTACGGTGTTACAAAATGGCAAATGTTATGTTCAGGGCCTCTTCTAGACAATTTCCACATCTACACACAGTAGGAACTTTGTATGTAATGGTGACTACTGACTCACCAGCACTCCCGGCGCTGCCCTCTCTGCCTTCTCTCCGACCCCTGGCACTGCCCTCCCGCCCTGACTTAACCCTCTGCAGGAAGAGAGAAAGAGGGACAAAGAATGAAGAAATTAAGATTCAATTGCAGACAAAGACATAAATAATCAAACACAGAATTCTAAAGAATTTGGTAAAAAAAAAAATAAAAAAAAAAAAGCATAAAATAAAACAAAAAAACATGGACTCCAAACAAACAAGCAGAGACCAAACCAACACCATCTAGCAAGCAGCTAAGCAGAAACATTTAAATAAAAAGTGGAATTTTACATAAATAAATGAAGAAAAAAAACATAAGTAAAAGTATAAATGTGAAAATCTAGAAGGGGAGACATTTGCATAAACACCACAGCATCTCATTCATCATTTCACACACACTATGCAGTTATATTAACAGGATCAGTAGTTTTTTGCAGTTTTGGGATTAATGAGTCAACCCTCTGGCTCTGTCTCTCTGTCAGCCTGTAGGATTGTTTCTCTGCTCTAACAGTGTCTCTGGGTTGATTTAAGAGCAGCTGGTTGTGATTTGTTCCTGGCTTCATGGGACCAACACACACAGCTCTGTTACTCTGAGTCTCGCCTTCTTCTTGACTGACCCGAGACCACTTCCAGTTTTGTGGATCACAGGCCGTGTGGACCTTAGGTTTGGGAGCCACCATAAATACTAGTTATTGCATCCTTCAAGGTAAAGATGTAATGCAGAATTAATTTAAAGGATGTGATACATGGGACGGTCAGCTTTTATTCAGAGCTGAATGAAGTAAAAATAATAACAGAATATTCCTGTGATCTTGGAATTACCACTTGAAGGGGATTTCCACTGATTTCACAAGTGTTTACAGGTCTTGGGATGTACTACAGCACATGTGAATAAAAGTTGTATAAAGCCTTTTGTGGTTCCATAGGAAGCTGCATGAAGTTTGTTAAGTGTCCTCAAGAGATTTGAGCTTGAGACTACAAGCTTGGAAATTACTTCTTTTTGTGTTACTTTCTAAAACGTTAGAATGAAGTGAGGTTACCAGACCTCTGCAGCCTGCTCCTCATATCTGCTTTAGGCCAGCAGCTCGAGGCTACATTAGCAGCTTCTAGTTTAACACACCCCAATCTCTGACAGAACTCACAATGATAGAGATGTATTGTGGGTTTTGACAAGGAAGAAGAACGCATGGAATAAAAAAAATAAAATAAAAAGATACTTGATGGTTCTACTGCACCGATTTTGATCATTTCATTGTGAATCCTACAAGGTTTAATCGGTGGAGTACTCTTAAGACAAAAATCATAAGAAAAGAAAATAGGAATAGAGAAGAAAAATAAACTAGGATATTAATTTGGATTTTGTTGATGCAGGTCTTGCAGGATAATTCCCAGGATGTACAGATTAACATATGAACCAATCTGATGCATGAGTCTCCAGTTATTCTGGGTTTGCTAAAACAAAACCAGTTACCTAATCCATTCAGATGTCTCAGGCAGCACTGAACAACCCAAACAAACTGCATGTAGCATCAGATCTGTGAACAAACACCACCCTTTTTAAATGACCCAGTATTAGTGTCAGCAAGGTGTTGAACAGCTGTATCGCACCTGCTCGCCTCAGAACATGGCTTGATTTGTGGAAAATCAATAGAAGAGAAAAACAGCTGTTTTTCAAGCATTCCTGGAGAACATGTGCACATTCTCAATCAGCGTGTTCTTGTACAGGAACAGACAACAGGGCGCCAAGACATTGGTGAGGAAAAGATGATTAATGAAAGCTCACAAAAAGCCTGCAATATGACAAGCAGTTAATTTATGAGGCTGCATAATGTTAATGTTATTCAGATACATTACCTCATTTGAATGTTATATTATTAAACAAGGCTGCTTGTATAACGTTAGTTCAAATAAATCTCAAGTCAACATACTGGAGGTTTCAAGTTACACATTAAACACACTGAACCATTAGTGAGTTATATCTTTAGATGCATTTGCGCTCTTAAATTCACTGTCAATTAAACACTGTGCGCAGTGCTGTGGCATCTTCTCTCTCAGGTTTTCTGATAATGAAGTTCGAGTTTGGTATCTGCACTTCTTGTAGTTTTCCATGTTTATTCAGCAATGTTAGTTATCGATGTTCCTACTAACTACCCCACCTCTCCTTCTGTTTATTCCAAACAAACTAATGTAAAATACATACCTTTCAGTGTGCCATATTATTCCCCAAGAAAGAGCGACCATACACTGTGTACAAATAATGACAACTGTCTACAGGTTAAATTGTTAAGGTGTGACAGCCCAGAGACACACACCTGTTCTCTGATCTCCTTCATCTTCTCCACCTTCTTCAGCTTGGTGGCATATTCTTGGACTTCCTTCAATCCCATGTCTGTGCACAGCCTCACCAAGAAACGCAGGCCTGGACAAACACACACAGTTATTATTTTCTTTACACTCTGACCAGTGAATCATCTGCTGTTGGTCAAGAGTTTTGTTGAAAATGAAGTAACAGACAGGATGAATTACATTCCACATTTTCCGGAAACTTGCGGTGAATGTCTTTATACGTTTCCAGAGCTTTCTGGTAGTTTCCTGTAAAGAAAAAAAGAAAATAATGCAACTTCACAGCTTTAATGGACTCATTGCTAGTTCAAATCAACAAACACTGGGTAAGTCAGTTGTTCTGAAACTGTAAAGTGCACAGCTTTTCGTATTTACTGTTACTTACCCACTCACAGTCAGTGAAGTCAAAACTAAATATATTATCAAATATTCTATCAATTTCATATATATGTCAACTAAATGACAATGCATCACTGCTTATGGACATCTACTTTTCTCTAATCTGGTTTTCAGTGTCAAAAGTCAAGAACCGAAGAACATTCTCACCACTTCTTCTGTAGCAGCTTGCCACCATTAGTTGCCACTTCACCTGGGTTGGTCTGAGAAACACAGCAGAAAGATTTCCAGTCAGTGTGAATGCAAAACACTATACTGAACGCAAAATCTATACTGAATCGAGCTGGAAGGCAAGCAAAACCTAACCATCTGTTTACCATCTTTTAGTTTAGAACATCTTCACATTTGATGAAAGACTAAGTCAACAATCAAAACAAGATAAAATAAAAATCATTCAGAAATGTGGTTTAACAAGTTTTTTCAAGCTGATATAACAACAAAAAACAAACACTACATTTTCTGGCATTATATTGGAACTGCTGAAATTATCATCAATTTAACACAGATCTATTTGGTATGTTACTTATCATGCCATTTCTATCCATGTAGTACTATAACTAGTGATAACTCACTGTATGAGTGTAGCTCTTTCAAAGTACTGAATGGCCTTCTCACAGAACTGTGTCTCAATGTAGTAAGCCCCGAGCCATTCAATCACATCGATGTTGGAGGGGAAGTACCTGAAGGACTGGACAGCAACACAAAGCCAACCACATTAGACCGCCTAAAAGATAGCTAATGCTGAAATATTAAAGTAATCAATTTGCCTGTAAACAGAAAAATATTCAGTTATGCTTCTTGTACCTCGTAGTAGTACTGGAAAGCCTGGGACTTGTCGCCCTCGCCATCATGCAGCTCTCCCAGTTTGGCCAGTGCCCGGGGGTCAGTGGGAGTTACGCTGATGACCTGCATCAGCCACTCGATTGCCTGTTGGGGATCTTCCAGAAGCTCATAGATGAAGCCAGTGAGTCAAGGACCAATAGATGCTCACATGGGAATGGATAGAGATGCAAGTTTGAATCCCTAAATGAACACCTTCCCAACAACATCTTCTAAAGGTACAATTGTTTGAAGCAGTTAGCACACGTGTAACACACAGACACATGTAACATATCGAACTTATTAGTAGGATACAGGTTGGCCAGCTGGTACATGACTTGGGCACTGTTCCTCAGAATAGCATGGAGCTTCAGGAAGCAGTCCAGAGCCTCTTCTAGACGATTCAGTCTCTTATAGGTTAGACCTGGTACAAGTGGAACGGGGTCAAAAACTGTCAATCGACTTATGTACTTTGGATCCATAGCCAATCCGAAGGCTGACAATATAACAAGTTCCCACAGATATTTTCATGGAAAAAGGTGACACATGAAGCCTTTACAGTGTACTTGACTTTACAGTAAGCAGACATTTTGAACCTAACTGCTTTTCCAAACTAGTCATGATCTAAACTCTAATGGTTGAAACATAGTGAAGCACAAACAGAGCTTAAATTGAACACTTAGATTCCCTATCAGCTATTACAGCTGAGAGAGAGATCTGAGAGAGAGAGAGATCGAGAGATCTCTATCTATCGGATGCCACTCCTTGTGGCATACACACAAAGACAGCTCAGTGTTTAAAATGACCAAGCAGACACCCATGCCTCACATACAGACTAAAAGGAAGACTTCACCATAGGCTGTCCATGGAGTTGTAAAATGATTGTTCCCAGATGTTTCTTGCATTATAAGAGGGAGCGTTATCTTGTTCAAAGTCTCTTCGACCATTTATGATAGTCATGAATCGATGTGCGCTTCATGTTAAGGGTACTATACTATAAATCAATGTCTGCATTATACACCACTATAGTGTATCATGAAAACGTTACCCAGGTTGTAGAGGGCCTCAGTGCAGGAGGAATCATTCCTCAGTGCTTCTTTGTAGAACTCTGCAGCCTTTTCATAGTCTTGCTTGACAAACACCGTGTTGCCTTTGTTGATAAGTGCTGCCGGGTTGTAGCGATCAGCGTTCATGGCAAGGTCAGCATATCGGTCAGCCTGGTCATAGTCCTTCTCCTGTAACAGTTGGAAGATGAGAATGGAAGTACCTGACTGGTAGCATGGTGGTACAGAGAATAGGGGCTATGATTCAGCCATCCTTACAACAGGAATGTTTATCTTCAAATATTTCATCTAATTAAGGAATCGGGCTTCTAAGGGAAATCCTACCCAATCTCTTTTATGTGTATTAACTGAGAGCCTTTTGATTAGTCAATGAGAGGATCTTACCAGGAAGTAGAGGAAAGAGAGGTTGGTGGCTGCAGCACTCTTCACTCTGCTGTCCTTCTTCTCAAATGTCTTCAGAGTTTCCACCGCCTGATGACACATAATAAGGGTAATCTATTTGCACTAGTTTTACTAAACATGTGCACAGCAATACTATATAAGTTATTTACAAGCAGATTTCCCCAGTATGTAACACACCTACAAACATAAAAAACAACATTCTTAAAATGCGATCTGAAGCTTTTGGTGTTTAGTATAATTTATGCTGAGCCATCAGGCCTTCAATAAATATTCTTCATATCAGCAAATATCAGAATCTGTGAAGGTGTAATTAAACTAAAAACTATAGCATATAAAGCAGACCCATAAAGGAACCACCACAAACCACAAAGTAAATCCAAACATTACAATTCAAAGACTTAAAAAAAAAAAAAAGATGACTGCAGGATGTAACCATCTGAACTTTTGATAAACGGATTAATGAGCTTTATATCTCAGACAGTCTTTTTATTTGCCTGTTATGCCACTGTAGGCACATTATATACTGGGGAGATTTTTCAACAGTATTAGTGTGTAAAATGTTAGCATTTTGACAAACCACCAGCTAGGCTACAGCTGCACTGATGTTGCAGAATACACCACCACCACAGTCATGTTGAGTATGAAAGCACTACACACATGCATCAGATGTATATGGAGCTCTAAAGTGTTCAATAGAGAATAAGTAAATATGAAATAAATAAGACACAATTAAATTATGGAAATATATAAATAAAATGTGTACTTAAGAAACTCAAGTCATGTTATTTCATCCTCATTATTTAACAGATTATTGCCGCTTTTTCAGAGGTCTGCTTTTATTTCATAATGGCATTTTCCCACAGTAACACTTGTATTTCATGCCACTTTTTATTTCATAATGTCACTTTTCATGACAGTGGTGTACTCACTGCCCTCTCACCTTTGAGCTAATCACATGTCCCCTGATAGAGGCTGCTGCTGTAAAATCCTATTTGTAGTTAGAATAATGTTGTTCTAGTTAACTGGCTAAATTTGCCAAGAGCTGTTGGGCTTGGCAGCTTAAGAGAGGCTGGGGACATATGATTGGCTAAAAGGTGAGAGGGTAGTGACAACACCACTGTCATGAAAAGTGATGTTATTAAATAGAATGTGTCATTATGAAAAATGTCATAATGAAATAAAAACAAACTTTTGAAAAATGACATTTTGAAACAGTCTATAATGAAATTAAAAGCTACAATTCAATATGAGTATAAAAATAATAAAATAAAAAATGAATTAAAAAATAAAATGAATTATGAAATCATTTCATATTAATGAGCTGAATTTTGGTGATTTCTTTGATTTATACATTGTAGACAATTTATTCATATGATTATTTATTTAGAAAAGGTTTTCATTTTTTTTTTATGTTAAACATTTGGGGTTCCATAGGTATAAAGTCTGTTAGTACAAAAACTATTGGCAACTGCAGTTTTATATTATTGGAAAAAGTGTTGATAAAGTAGTACTGTTAGCCACAGAGCAGCTTCACTGGCAAAGCTGCAGTTCCTTGAGAGCTCCGAGGTATATTGGTAAAGAAGAAACTTTTCTAATTTCCTTTTTGAACCAAGACTGGTTTTCAGGTTATAAACCAATGACTTCGTCTCTAATTTCTCTCTCTTGGCAGAAAATGCTTTTTTTTTTTAGTAGTAACATATCAGGAACACAATCTAAATGTTAACGTGGAAACAGAAGGCACACATACCTCAATCTTAGGCATGCAGATGGGAAGGAAACAAGACAAAAGCAAGAGAGAATGGAGGGCAATGAGAAGGGGAAAATTTGATTGTGATGCTGCACATAGCTGATCAGCCTTAGCCTGAGTAAACTGACACATAAACAACGCTGGCCAATAACTGTATGGAAACACAACGTTGTAAAAAAATAAAAATAAAAAGATGGGAAAAAACTGTTAAAAACTGACAAAGACCAGATCATCCAAGTTACATAGTGTATGTTTAAGGGAAATACCACTCACTTTAAAAATGTATAAATCTAACTGCTACTCCGATACAGTATTTTTGAGCTTTAATGAGAATATCTTTTCAGATTCAGAAATAATTATAGCACCACATAATTATATGTTCTATTTCTGCAAAATCATTCTCTACTGTACTGGCTGATATGTTTGCAATTATATAACATATAACCAATATTTTAATTTTAACATGAAATGTTTGGTTGGAACATGTTCTCAAATATTCTAATACAGAGGTCTATTACAAAGCGGCAAATACTCAGACTGGATGCTGAGTTACTCTACTCAACTGTGCTTCTATGGCAACAACCCCAAACTATAGGGGTGAGATCCCTAAATTGAGTGGTATTCCCCTTTAAACTGTTGAGCCAAACAGTCACCTGGTTGAAGTCCTTCTGCCTAAGGTAGGTGATGGCTTTGTTTATCTCTAGATCGTTGGCAAGCTCAACATACTGAGAACTCTTCACCATGTCCACACACCTAAAAACAAAACAAACAACCATATATGCACAGTATAACGCTTTATGTATCATTTCACATCATTTGATGGTCGCTGCAAATAGCATGCATATTTATGTATTATCCAAATTTGCCCAATAAGCCAGGTGTGTGTGAAATGTAGTCAAGGCTGCAGTTGGATTTTGTTTGCTAATAATATGTCTCAGTGTTAAGTCACATTTTAATCTGTGGCTGATTAAAGGTTTGTGATTCTACCTCTTTAGTGGCTTGAAATTGTGCTAAACAAATCTCAACTGCAGTCACCTACAGTTACTAGAGTGACCTAACTGGGTGGAAAATCCAATTGTACAATTATATCAAAAGGAAGACATCAAATAACATCCCTGTTGTTTTGATTTTTAGTCCCTAAACGGAATTTACTTTAGAATTTTAACCACTCATTTATGGAGATAATGACTAATATTGTCAGCTATCTGTAATTAAATCTACGTATCAGTTACCACCTTGAAAATCATGTTTTTGTGTTTTTGAGTCCCTCAAAAGACAGTCATGGAGCAGTCCCAATATATTTTATGCCCTCTAGTGTTAATATGTTAAGATGAAAAAACATATTTAAACAGAAACAAACCAGTCAAATCCAGTAGCAAAAGAAGTCTCAATGGCCGGAGCGATGAGCTTGGCTGAGGTCATGATGAACTTCTCAGCCAGGACTTTTCTATGTACAGTACACAAAGGAAAACAACAGTAATTCAGAAATAAATGGTACAAAACGTGAATATTAAAATAACAGTGTGCTTTGTATTTAAAAATGCAGTGTTCTGGTGTTTTGGTATTGAAGAAAACATGTCAGTGGCTTGTAAGGTCAAGAATATCATCAGGTTTTGCTGAAGACAAGTGTGTGTTTTTGTTGTGTGAGATTTTTTGTTACAGATCTCTCTCCATCTGGTGAAGTTTGTCGTTCTTAATGGCCTCGATGACCATATTTGAGCTAGCGTCATCCTGAGAAAGATGACAGGACAATGTTGACATTAAGATGTTACAAGAACCACATTTAGCACTTTCTTATAAATATAAGTATTATGTACAGGGGCTATAGAGACCTACATAAGAATAAGGAGTCATTTCCTAACTTTGGTTATTCTTGGTCGATGTAAGGTTAGAGGACACAAAAGGGAATTTCCTTGCAGTCATCAAGAGAGTGCAATCTTATTCAGCTCATAATCAGCAGCACAGATCTTGAAAATACTGAATTACAAGGGACATATGTGTTTAGCCTAAAAAGATGACTGAATAATTAGCATGAGCACTGATAGCCATTATAGCTGGAAAGCTATAAAGAGCTCTTACTACAGAAACTTCATGGACAGATGACCCACAGAGCAAGACTTTGCAAGAAAGGTATTTATAAATAAACATAGCATATTATTGTAACTCACATTAGATGGGATGTACTTGTCTTCATCATCGATTCCCAGAGGAACAGAGATGAGCTTCTGAAAGGCCTTCTTCATCCTTTCCCTATCACCAATGGCATAGTAGCAAAGAATAAGGTTGAAGCCCGTCTTGATGTTGGGGCTCTCACTCATGATGTGCTCAAAAGACGTTATGGCATCGGAGTATTGGCCCATACGGACAAAGACCACGCCGATATTCTGCATGATCTTGATCCTCATTTCCTTGTGAGCGTTGGAGATCTGATCTAATGCCATTCGGTAGAACTTGATGGCTTTGGGGTAGTTCTTCTGTTTGACATAGATGTTTGCCATATTAACCTTCAGCCGGCCTGGAGGAGCAGCACAGAGGTAGTTTGAAGGAAAACCACAGCAAAAGTACAACTGGTACAACAAATAATATAGTACAAGTCAAGTTGTTTGGTCGTCATCTACTAATCAGACGGTCTTGGTTCAAGCCCCTGCTCCTCCAGTCTGCATGTCAAAGTATTTTTGGGCATTGCCTGGCAGCCACTCCCATCAGTGTGTGTCAATGGGTGAATGTGACATTGGAGCAAAGCACTGGTCGGAAGACTAGAAAGGCGCTGTATCTGTGCAGTCCATTCACCATTTACTATTTCTGTCAGTCACCTGGTGATATTTCAACTATTGGTGGAGACACAACAAGACAGTGACACAAGAAATGCTACCTATTGATTGATTGATCTTAAGACAAACAGGCAAAGACTCTGTTCCATGTCATGTTTATACTTCTCATAAAAAGCTATATTATGTGCTAGTTGTGTGTGCAATATGCAGTTGTATACTAAAACTACTAAGTTATTGAGGATGTTGTTGCCATTATAATTTGTACTTCATCACTGCACTTTCAGACCAGAATGACAGTAAGGCATATCCTCTTTTTCTTAATTTTATATCCATAATTAAAACATGGGATTTCCTGTCCTGCCTGCATAATTAGTAGATGCACATGGTTTAAACATATCTGTAATGAATATGAAGCAGAGTGGTCTTCTCACCTGCGTTACTGAACATCTTGTTCTTCACAATGACCTGGTAGCTGTTTAGGGCCTCTGGGTACATTTCATTGTTAGCATACTGGTTGGCAAGGTTGAGCAAAACCTAGTAATGACAGAAAAATCCAGTATTTCTAAATGAATTAATGGAAAAAAAACAATTAGGTCAGGACCTAAAATTGAATTTGCCATCTGTGAGCTGTGCCTACATAGCTGAGTGATTAAGTCAACTTCCTCAGATAAGAAATAAATAAAATAAATAAGTAAGAAAGAATAAATTACAACATTTCATCACTGCATAGCTCCTCAAAACAGTATTTTCTGTATAATAACATAGCTAATATGAAAAATATAGGGCATTTTTTCCTTAAGTAACAAATAAATACAGGCTCAAGGAGTGGGTTTTCCAAAAGGTGGTACTTTAGCTTCTGAGGCATGTCATATCAGAGTGTAGGAAGTAAATGCTCAATCATTTCATTTACAGCCACTGGAACAACCACATATCCATATATATAACCATATATTGATTTATAGCAACTTTACTTACAGAGTAGGTGAGGTCTAAATTGATGTGTTCTGCATTGCCAGACTGTTCCCTCTGTCTCACCAGGGCTCTCTCCTTCCTCCCTGCCTCTTTGGCTTTTTCAAGAGCCTGTAGAAACACATCACATGCACACTTACAATACATACAGAGCACATACAGTAAGTAGGCATGCACATCATACATTATTACTAATCAGTATGTTAAATAATGAGAGTGTCTGACCAGTTGTAAGGCTCCAATGCTCTGTGCCATGCAGCTCTCTTCTATCAGGTCATTAACTTTCTTCTCCAGGATCTTGATCTTCTCCTCAGGCCTGCAAGACCACAAACACAGCAATGTGTGATAATGTTGCTTGAAAACACGAGCCTTTCTCCACCTGCTTCACAAGACATGGTTGTTTGGAGATCATTTAGTAATAACGAAAACATTAGAAGAGTGCTGGAAATCTTTCCCCTCTTCTCAGATTTAAATATATAGTGGAGAGAATTCAAATTTGTCCTAATACATAATACCACTTGTGAAATCAGTGCAGAGACTCTGGAAAACATCCATGAATATACTGAATTTATCAGTTTGTTCTAATGCAAAAAATAATATATTTTTGACTATACATTATTATATATTATTTTGTTTAACTGTCGTTGTGTCATATTTATGCTTACACATTTTCTTTGGGTAAAAAGATTCTACAGTATTATGGCTGAATGTGTGTCTTTAGATCCTAATTTTAATAGATGGGATGCAGCTCCAACAAAACCTCTATACAGGTCTTTTCATCACACATTGCTACTAAGGGGAAAACATGAATCCTAGATGATGCACGGATAATCTTAGAAGAAACACTGAAACAGACAAATCAGTTTGAAAGGACAACTCACGTGTCCTCATTCTTGGCTTCAAGTGGAGGAGCGGGGCCTCTGGACTGGCCCAGAGGGTCAAAGTTTGAGCCTGCAAATACAAATCATACTAATTTTCAATGTAACAGAAATACTATGTTGTTTACATAATTGAAATCTGTCCACATGAATATACACGTAGAGGTTCATACTAATAAAAAAAGCTCCATTTCCTTGGGTAAATAATACTCCTGCTTCCTGCTGCTGTGCCATGCTGACATTGTCTCTCCACAACTATTTATATTCCAGAAGAATAACTTCCACAATGTAGACACAGTAAAAATGAGCAGCAACAGAATCACAAGCTCATCATGTGGTAATCCAAATCAATAGATAAGCAGCAAGAATGAATCACTAAAATAGCTAGAAATAGGCTATTTCTGTTTGTGACTGCCTTAAACTCACCACGGGTCAGGGAGGATGTGTAACCTGCTGCTCTGACAGCAGTCATTGGTCGGGCTGCTCCATCCTGTCACATTTTTATATGGTGAAAAACACAATATATAGTGATTTTTCTTCCCAAAAAATGTTGGTAAAAACCACCTGTAAAACCTATATTGGTCAAATTAAAATCACTACACATTATATAGTACTGACAACTATTACATAATAAAAACTATGTAGGACCTTAATTGCACACTTGAGTGTTCAATCCCGCTCACCTGCACAGCTCCAGTCATGGGTCTGCCCATTGAAGAGGCCATAGGTATACGAGACTTCATGAAAAAGTATAAGACAGGTGAGAATAATTTAGGTATTTTTTCTCTCTCACTCCCCATTTATTTTCATGTAGATCAAGATGAAAACAAATTTTCTATTTGAAAGTAGGTGTAAGAATATTTCCTTTCTTAACATTTTGTAAGTTTATTGTGCATCTCCCAGATGAAGCTATGGTGGGAGGCCTGACCTATACTAACGGACTATCACATTTTAAGGAACAAGGTGGTATTATGAGACAGGACAGGCCAGGCTAGCATGCTACCTTCACTAGATATCTCTACAACACACATAATGTCAGAACTGTTACATTATCAACTGAATGTGAAGACGTAAGTAAAAAAATAAAAAATAATTAAATTTTAATTTAAATTCTGGCGATATCTTACACATTGCACACTTTGATATGCTGAGTATTGTAACATATATTGCGATAGATTACCTTTATTTCAACTGCAAGTTCTGCCCCCCACAAAAACTGTCAACATCTGTCTTGTCTAATAAGATACCAATCCTGCCGACCATGACCTCAGTTGACCTTACCAGAAAAAAAACTCAGCACCATTTAGTGGCCTGAAAAAGCATTTGATTTTAATATTTTAGTATCAATTTTTTATGTTTTCAATAAGAATAATTGATATAATAAAATATTGATACTTGTCATCCATAAATCTATATATTACCACGCAAAAATATCAAGATGCTGTATCGTTTTTTACCCCACCCCTACCAGTGATTTCATCTGTGCAACAGACCTAGATAAACACATTTGATGTATTGTATAATTCATGTCATCTTTTGCAAAGTAATATGAAAAAAAGTCTGTTGAGACCAGAATGTTAGTCTGATGTGCTTATTCAATAAAAACCTTGAAAAGAAAAGCAGTGTGCGTCTGTGGGACTCTCCTTTTTTTTAACAAAATTACTTGTGCTGCAAGTGCTGTAAGTTTACAAATGAGGTCTTGCTCAAAATCTATCCATTGCATTGTACTTACTCCAAAGGAAGACGCTAAAGGCCGAGCTCCAATGGCAGTGCCAGGAAATCTGGCAGTCATCTGGAAAATTAAAGACATACAATATTTTCATGAGTATTAACAAGTGTGCAATCTGGACATAATTTATCCTCCCTCTGAATATCTTTCTCTAACACACTATCATACATGTCATTTACACTGGGGACATGTCCCCACCCCTTTTTGAAATGGCTGATTTTTTCCTCATCACTTTTTCAAAGTATTTTTTAAAAATGTTGTGAAAATAGCTTGCAACAAGAAAAGGTTAAATAACAAATGAAAATGCTTTTGGAAAAGTTTTTCTCCACAATAAGAAAACATGCAATGCAATGTTAATATAAAAGAAACAAATGTGCATTGTCACAAAAACGTAACTTCAGCTAAAGAAAACAAGCTGCTGATTACTCTATTATATTCTGTTATATTTTGAATTGTCACCTGCCTTTATATAAATAAAGATGTTTCCCCCATAAATAGGTTCTCCACAATGCAGAAAATTAAGTGTTTAATGCTCAAAACTTTCAGGGGGACGACCCCCACTCGTTTATTTCAGCATTTAATATTTCTTCAAAATATTGTTAAAATATCTTCTCGTCTCTCCTGAGCTAAGTGGATCTTCACTCACACCCCTAATCTGAACTCTCACCAACACTTTTCCACACAAAGTGACGGCCTTACACACTATAGTCGGTACTCACCGGAGGTCTTCTTCCATGACTGGTCCTCACTGCTTGCTGGAAGCCCACATCATTCTCCAACTCCTTGAAATTGGTCAACAATTTATTCTTTAACGTTACATACCCACTGTCCACGCAAAAGTAGGCGTTGTACCCACACAAGCAAATTCCTCTTCAGCTCATATCGTAAAGCTCTAAGTTATTTGTATGCTTGTTAGCTGAAACTTACACTTGGATGCAAGCGGCTTTGAGCTAACTAATCAGCTGCCAACTTCAGAGCTAAGTATAACTCACCTCGGAGTCAAATGTTGGATTATAGTCGTTGTAACCCGAATAAATATCATCCTCCTCCACAGCCAGATGCACGTTTTCCATTTCTCCTTCTCTGGGGAGGTGGTGTAACGAAATGCTCATGAATACGGGAAAACAAACCTTTATCTTTGCGAGCGAAGATAGTTTTGTTGTCGTTTAGGATTCAATCCCACAATTCAACGCGGCGTGGGTGGGACAGTTTTCATTTACAAACCTCTGATTTGTCACTTAGACGTCAATCATCAATTTGTATTAACATAATTGGCCGAAGCCTGATTTGATCCGTTGCTAGGATACAAGTGTAAGCTAACATTTCCTGCTCGGGGTTTGTGTTTTTTGAGCACAATTTTAATAAAAAATAAAAAATATAACTTAGTAAACAATTGTAGCTAACTGATAGCGGATATGTAGTTTGAGCTTTAATTTAACAAGGAAACTGCACTATTTTTCGTTCTTTGGTATATACATTTTGGTCCTTCTAGGTTACCGTAGCGGTATTTAGCAACGTGACTCTAGATGGGCGGTGCAATTTTGATAGAAACAATATACCGAGCTCAACTCATAACATCTTAAAATGAGCTGTTCTGATATGAAGACCATTACTGTGATCGGCAGGTGAGCAAGAAACGACGCTTTCTCGTGTTGCTCCCAGGTTATATTATGGTAGTTGTGGAATGTATTCATGGACACAAAAGTTAACGTTACATATGAAAGGCTTTTAATTAATCATTCTGCATTTGCTATGTTCTGTTTAGTTATTCTGCTTATAATTTTAGTTTAGTGATTGCATGCTATACAGGACTACTCTAAATCAATGCATGGTTAAATCTCTTGGCATGTACCCAACTAAGGTGACCTCTTGTACTTTATCATGGTAACGTTGCATTTGCATATTTTTCATTTTTATCCACCTGGCCATTATAGACAAGGTTCAACCCACTCTTTAAAGTAGCCTAGCAGTTTTATTGAGGCCCCACATTTCTGTACCCTGATCATTATTTCTACACACTCAGCTAAACATGGCAGTCACCTACCCCGAAGTGGCCTCTCATAAACCTGGAAAGTAAATACAAAATATCACAGCCAAATAGGCACTCATTTTTTCGTGCACTTGAGAGGTACTTACAAAATGTGCATTAACAGACAAAATTCTCTCTAATATGCAGGCCAAAAGATCATAACACACTAAACCTAAATTTCCACTGCACGATTTTGCAAACTGAAACGTGCATTGATAGAGCAACAACAAAACATACCGGGCTTTTATTGTGTAACGGACCTCCCTTTGTAGGGAATAAAGAGTGAACTGCTGGAAATTACAAAAAGAGACAGACAAAGCAAGCGTGATACTGTAGTAGTGAAGCGATGAGCACAGAACAACAAAGGCGATGACCACAAATAAAACCAGGCCAATTTGTGACATTAAATGTTGAAATTTGTAGATAGCATTTGGTCAATGTGAAATTCTAAATGTATTATGTGTGTGTGTGTGTGTGTGTGTGTGTGTGTGTGTGTTTTTCAGTGGGCTGATAGGCCGCTCCTGGGCTATGGTGTTTGTTAGTGGAGGCATCCGTGTGAAGATCTATGACAACCAACCAGGACAGGCTGCCAAGGCCGTCACAGAGATCAGGTCAGCCCTACTACACAATACTCCAATACTGCAGTCTTTGTCCAGCACAAACCATCATGTAATGTAGTCTGAATTAATGAAATTGTGTTCTAACTTATGGGTTAACTTTCTTGTTTCTTGTTCTGCTGTTCTGGGAGCATCTGATAGGTAGAGTGGTATCTGATCACAATAGCTTGTAGATATCTAATCTGATTTGTGTTAATTCATAGTTTTAGACTTACAAAGGTTTTTAATGAAACAAAAGCATGTATACATAAAAGGGATAGTTGACCCCCTGACAAAAATAAACTTATTTGTCCTCTTACCCAAAGAGCAATAGTTTTAATGCCTTTTGTTGAGGGAAATATTTGAAAATATATTGACTTCAATACAGGTGAGCTGGTATTTACTTTGTGGTGTTCAGATCATCTCAATAATGTGGGTTATTTTGTAAGTAACCATGTCATTATATTTGTGTGTAATAGTTCCAGTGTATAATATTTAGTAGGATCTATTCACAAAAATGCAACATTATCATGTTTTCAGTGGTTTTTATTACCTTAGAATGACCAATTTCTATCTAAATGCACCGCGGGTCCTCTAAAATGGAAGTCGCCATGATGTGCTGCCTTTCTACAGTAGCCCAAATGGACAAACTGCTCTACAGAGTGCGTTTCATCACTATGTTGAATACGTACGAGGAAGAAGGAAGAAGAAGAAGAAATAGTAGTTGTAATAGTAGTTGTCTGGTTTGTTAGAAGTAAGAAGAGAAGTGAAATTTGGACAAATGGAGGACGACATGTATTATTTAGCACAAAAGCCGACAGAACATGTCGGCCACCATAGCTTCTCCTACACGCTTGCAAAGGCGAGGGGTGAGCTGTGTGTGAGTCAGTGGTTGCAATTTGCAACCCTTACCACTAGATACCACTAAAACACACTGAACCTTTAAAAAGTATGTTTTTGATGTTTTGAGAACCACAAACCACAAATGTTGAGCTACATCCAACATCTCCAATCATCAGCAAGTTCCACCAAAACTACCTGAATGATAGATCACATATAGGCTAAGATGATAAATAGGGTTCTGAGTTTTGGAGTGACTTTCGTGACTCTATAGCACATGATGATCAATCACTTGTATGTTGTTCAATGAAAACCTTTCTCACATCACTAACACCAAGGAAGTTATACTGTTATGGCTTTCTAGTCAACAGGGGAAACATTAACTAGACATAGACTGGCCTCCATGCACTCATGAGGGTCCTGTCCAAAATATAACCTGCTCTTCCTTCCAGCACTTACAGAAAAGACACGTGCACATTGCATGATCAGTGACTTCCTCTAACTATAGGAATGCATGGACAAACACATGTTCAGGCCTTCAACCTCTTTCATAGCCTCCTCCTAACTGTTCAGACTCATTCAGAGATTCATTTGCACACTGTTCTTTCAGTCTCCCTTCGTGTGTGATTTCTTGCTAAACAAGCTGCGAAGACAGTTCCTAATACTATGCCCTATTTTGTTCTGACTTATCTGATACAATATCTTCGAAATGTTATGCCAACATGATTTGCATTTAATTACTTTTGCTTTGTATTTTGGCTGGAAAACCAACCTGCCAGCATTTACGCATTAAACAAACTTTTCTTAAATCTACCCTGAAGGTTTCGATTGCTGAATATTTTGTTAATGACATTAAAAGAGAAATGTTATAGATACAAGTCATACAAGACGATTTGTTTCATGGCTCAGGAAGCAGCTGGAGGAGCTGGAGGAAGCCCACATGCTGAGAGGAGAGCTCACAGCCGCACAGCAGCTCGCCCTACTCAGCAGTTACGATGACCTGGCTCAGGCACTGGAGGGAGCCTTTTTTGTCCAGGTGACACACAAGGCTACTCCAAACACCAACACTGTCTAATGTTTCAGAGATACATATAACAAACTAATTACTGCATGATAGACCCTGGGTTGTGCTTATCTCATCAATTATAAAGGTTTGCTGCATTAAAATGCACTTCTCATAGGCTGATTTGTGTAATGTAACTGCGCTTTCTAATTCTGTTCTTCAGAGATTTAAGTTTTGGCCCATCACAAGAAATCAAAACCTAAATGTTTTTTAACTAACCTAAAAATATCAAAGTCTGTTTTATGAACTGATGAAAGAGAGGTTTCTTGTGACAAAAGGTTCAGGAGGCAGTTGTTATGACAAGAGTTGCCTTGCTGTTCAATCATTACATGTTATTTTAACCAACCAACTCACTCACCGTGTCTTTGTCTTGCTGCGGACACAAACACACACTCAACTATAGAAAACTTACTTAGTCACATATTATGTAACACAGCCACAGAACTTTTTAAGCCAAGAAAATGTCTCTTTACTCTGTTAAAACAGACAGTTGTGCTCTTCATCACGGAAGGGGTTATCAGAGCGCATAGGGATAGGAAGGGCCAGAATAAATCAATACTTTGTCCTGAGTTCACTAACATGAAACAATAGAAGACTTATTAGGAACAGGGAAATACCAAGTAGAAATATACAGACTCTTCCTGTTCAGATACCAAGCACCACATTTCCTGATATCATGACATCATCTGATTCAAATGTCACCCTTTTATTGATCGTGACTGTAGAAGAGTAGAGGAAGTAACAGAGTTTGTCTCAGTCAGATTTGTTCCAGAACATATGAATAACTCATACAGTGACTGGTGTTAATCCATACCTGCCTGCACGGTCTCATACCTGCTGGAGAACAATACAGGACATACCAGAGATGTAGATGGAAGCCTGTACATACAGAACCACCCATCACATTCACTTCTGTCAATGTTTTAGACAGCTGTTTTTACATATCCATCACAGCTTAAATCAGATTAAGCTATTGTTTCGCTGTTGGAGGTGAGGAGATATGATGGGCTACAAATCAAAAGTTGAATAGTTCATGAAATTGCCGACATGATTAAAAAACTCTCTTACATACTCACACTGTTAATGAGTGGAGCATCACAGTATGCGTATACATTCGGCAGGTATGCTGCTTGCCCAGCAAGTTATTGCAGTTCTACACACTTAATGAATACCATTTTAAAATCATATTTACGCTCCACCCCACGACCCTGTACGCCGGATAAGCGATTGACGATGGATGGATTGATTTACGCTCCACTACAGATTTTGACATCCAACACTGTCAGGGCAAATACAATGCAGGCTGTGGTGGATTGTTAAAAACCCAAACTGGTTGTATCCAGTTCTAAAAATGTGAGAACAACATGGCTTTCAACATTTTGTGTCTCAAAAGCCACCGACAGCATTAGTTTGTCGTTTGTCGCTTAGGTGTCAGTATTTATTCATTGTTGGTATGGCTAAAATGTTTATCCTTGCTGTAATACCTTGTTGAAGAAAAACTGTGTGCAAAGTCGGAGGTTCACTCAGATTACAGGAAAAATTGTATTTTCAACACTCAAATTATTTTTATCTATACAGATAGCGTGGGTATCTTGTGTTTTGAGATATACATCTCTGAGATGTCTGCAGCCATAATCCAGTGTCACTGATCAGTGTCAATACCATTAATTAAGACTATATGAGATGGTATGATGATATGATAAAAAGGTGGGAAGAATTTGGGCGTCAACAGCTTACCAAGGAACAAAAGTCTTTATTTGCTGTTTACTGAAGTCCCCACAATTTTACATTAGAAGTGGTTTAGTGTTTAGATTTGAAGATTGTATTATTCTGCATAATCTAGAAGATTTGTTTTATATCTAAAGGAAAGTTTGAAAGTTGGGGAAGAGGATCATACTGAACTGTGTGTTACAAAGACGTTGGCCAGAGATAATATTTTGATTCTGTGTTACAGAAAATGAAATGATGGCAATGGTACATTTCTGGCAATGACTTTGTATATGCGTCTGTCTGTGCGTACACTTTTGCTTGTCTCTTTCCAGGAGTGTGTATTTGAGCAGCTCGAGGTCAAGCAGAGCGTCTTCCAGGAAATAGAGCGTCTTGTGGGAAAAGACATCATCCTGAGCAGCTCGACCTCATGTCTGGTGCCGAGTAACGTCTTCTCTAAAGTACAGAACAGGAGTCGCTGCCTCGTCTCCCATCCGGTTAGTACCACTACAGTCGTGGTACCAGCGGGTAGTGTAAAGGGATTTCAACCTAATAATAAACTACAAACTGGGGAAGCCAGATTAGTTAATTTCTATGTATGTATGTATTTACAGGTACCCCGTCCTCATCATGCATTACTGCTATATAAAGTGGAAGCCATTTAAAAGTGTCCCTTCTTTCATTTATTTTTCATTTATTCTGCATTAGTACTGCAGTAACTGCAAATTTTGCTTTTGGGTGATGTAGTCCATCTTCTGGCAGCCATATTGGAATCTAACAATAATAACACAAATCTGCCTCATTAAACTACCCAATTTGACTTATGTACAGACTGGATCCGTTGTCTTTCTATTGTTACATTATGTTTTACCACCAAAATAATTTCTCCAAATTATTGAGAAATTAATGTAATTTCCAAAAGATGATAGAATAAAATTGGAAATTGTATTTCATCTGTTTTAGGCTTTTAATAGTAAAACCAAACCTAACCAAATGTCTGTGAATATACTGTGTCATCCAGGTCATAGTTAGCTGAAGCATGTCCATCACCGTCTCACCTCACCACACTCAGCTTTTTTGTTGCATGTCTACAAACAATGACTCTTTCTTAGTGTCCCAGTTCTTTATGAAATATTGTGCCTTTTTAAATTTTACAATTGGACAAGGAGAAACTAACATCACAGCTTTATCACAACAGCAGTGATGCAGTTCAACCTTTTTTATTTGATAAATGTTTGATTTATTTCAGAAGTATTTTTGTTACATTGGTTAAAATTGTCTTTATATTTCAATTCAAATAAATTAAGTTTTATTTATATAGCGCCAATTCACAACAACAGTTATCTCAGAGCACTTTTCATAAAAGAGCAGGTCTAGACCGTACTCTGACACTCATGACACCAATTAATAAATGAAATGCATTGACACAAAAATGGAAAAAATCCAGATTGCCTGGCCTACCTGCCTGCGCACCTGCCTGTGCACATTGCACTTGAAGATATGTTTTCGGGGGAATTTCTCTGGAGTGAGGCCTGGAGGGGGATTCTTTCAGTTGGATACATTCAGAATCTAGCTGTTTCTTCCAAGTTATCCAAGGTTGACTACCCCAGCTTTAATGTAAAAGTTAGTTTAAAATGGCATACTGAGTTATGTGGTTATAATGTATTTCATTTGGCGCCCTACAGGTGGTAACAAGGTGTGTTATAGTCCAGTGTGACCTGGTATTTGAAAAAAGTCTTATAATGGAAAATATTACGCAATACCTTTCAGGCTTTTTACGAACATGTAAACCTGAGGAAATGTCACTTAGCCCCAGTTCCTCTGTTTCAGCGAATTATCTTCTGTAGGATGTGTGATTGTCCTGTGCTCCACAGGTAAACCCCCCCTACCATGTCAAACTGGTGGAGCTGGTACCTCACCCAGAGACAGTAACGGCCGTTATGGACACCACCCATGCCCTAATGACCAAGGTAAAACTCCCAGATTACACAATCCTCGGCTTTCAACTACCAGTATGTCAGAACTTGCAGGAGAGATGCAAAATACAAGTCACTATCAGACACGGTGGCATCAGGTTTATTAGAAAGCCAAGCCATGAAGGCCTGTTAAAGGTTCAGTGTGTAAGTTTTAGTGGCATCTAGTGGCGAGAGTTACGAATTGCACCCCCCTCCTCTATCCAAGCCAGTTGTAAAGCTACGGTGCCTGAGACAGGACAAAAGATGTCCTCTGTGAGCAGAGAGTTGCCAGTCAAGAAATCAGGTTTCTTTACATTGATATATTAAGAAATTATATTTACTTGATTATTTAATAAAACCATATGCTATTGTGAATTAAACAACAACCACATCAAGAAATGAAGTATTACATGATGTCTCATTCTCCTGTAATACAGTATTTTACTGGACTGTAATCATACTTTTTGTTACATCTTGGGAGTGTTGGCTCATCTGGACTAACATACCAAAGTAAATGAAGAACATCTCAAAAACTCTCTAGTGCATCAAGTATGACCACTGACAGATAACAGGAAAATGTAAGCCTCACTGTTTCTGCACCACAGTCAGCACCATTATAAACTACATAATACATGAAGTTTCCAAATGCATTGTCAGGTGAGGATCAAGGCTCATCTCACTTTGCTTAATTAGATAAGCAATCTGCAAATCTTACCAAAATGTCTATTTTTAATTAAAATACAACAGAAACACAAAGTAGTATTGATTGCCATAATTTCATGGTGCAACATTTTTAATGGGCATTTATCATGTGAAAGTACAAATTACACATTTGTATGCACAGTGGCAAAGCACTAGCCCAAAAAAAAAATTGTAATGCAAATTTGGAAAGTAATCATTATTGGTCACTTGATGGGCACACGGTCATGTTATGTGTCACTATTAGCAGTAAAATAAATACATGTTTTCCACCAGGGCAGTATTCAACGGAAGTTTAGCTGCTGATCTGAGCTTCCAACTTCCTACAAACTTAATTACCTGTCCAGCAGAAAACAGACAACTTCTGCTCCGCTTTGAAAACATCTGTCCCACATCAAAGCCTTCCATCTGGGAAAATCCACACCCTATCATGTCCGTGATTTTATGCCGTCATCTGTCTGCGTCTGTCCCAACTCCTCTGGCTTCATGGTATAAAGATCTACAGGCTGTCGGCTCTCGTGCTAAATAACACGTGTGTGCTCCTTCATTTGTCCAAATGTCACTTCTCTTCTTACTTCTAATAAACCAGAAGACTACTCAGAGACTGTTTATTATTATTATTATTATTATTATTATTATTATTTCCTCTTCTTCTTCTACGGACGCATTTAATGTAGTGATGGGCGTCTACACTGCCGGAATTTTACAAGCAGAAGAAGAACACCGTGATGATGAAATAAACTGTGTAGCGCTGTTTGTCCGTTGTCGGCTATGGTAGAAACATGACGACACAATACTGTGACCTCCATAGGAGGGGGTGCTCGCGGTTATGTAGATATAAATGGCTCATTCTAAGGTAATAAAAACATAATGGTTCATTATGTAAGGTCTTTATACACCACTGAAAACATAGTTATAGATAAAATGTTGCATTGATGTCAATAAATCCTCAGAAATATTACACACTGCACCTTTAGGAATCCTAAAGAGGTATATAAAGTGAATTGAATAAGTGAAATAAGATGTTATATGCGTTGGTAAGAAAACTAGTTTGCAAACCATTTCACAATGTCCACTTTTTTGTTAGTTGTGATCCAGGTTTGATTATCTAATATCATTGTCTGTGAAGTAAGTCACAGGTCTCACCAGTTCCAGGTGTGTCACTAGTTCCAGGCTTACTGGGATTAGCACACAGTGATAACAAACCTCACAAAACAAAATATAACCTAAAGTGTGAAGGATGAAGTATTCCAGGAAAGTTTCAAATGCATGTCTGTGCAAGATGAATTTCACGCTGAAATAAACAGAAACTACTGGCCTTCCTAGAAGGAAGCAAATCAGTTTACATCCCTGGATGTATAATAAAATTATACTTACTTTCCTAAACATGCAGAATTTTGGAACTATTGCCATCCTTGACATGATGATTTCTCTTGATTTAGGTCGGCCAGGCGCCAGTCCGTCTAAAGAAAGAGATCGATGGCTTTGCCCTCAACAGGGTGCAGGCGGCCATTATCGCAGAGTCCTGGAGGCTGGTTGAGGTCAGTGTCTTCGTGGTCGTCTTGTTTCTGTCCTTAGGTGAACCAGTTATGCTTTTTCAATTTTTCAAGCAATTATTGGACTGCTTTTCTTCTAACATAAGTGTGCAGTTTGAAACACACCTACAACTTTTGTCTCATGACCCATGTCCTGTTTACATCTACCACCAGTTTTTTTTTGTTTTTCCTTTTGGACATTGTATTTACTGCTATTTGATGTGACACTAACACCACTTCAGGGTTATGGTTTATGGTTTATGGTTTATCAATATCAATATTAATTTTATTTATATTGCACAAAACAACCAAGGTTGACCAAGGTGCTTCACAGGTTAAAATACAATAACAAGACACTACTTACACAGTAAAAGTACAGCAATAAAACATTATAATATACAGTATACGATATATAGTGATATTAAAATTGCCAGGAATAATAACAGACTTAACTCAAAGGAAATGCCAAAGAAAAGAGATTTAAAACAGTGATTTAAAACGTTCGAGAGTTGGGGCAGTTCTGCTATGGACTGGCAGGTTGTTCCACAGGTTAGGGTTTTAGCTACACTAAAGGCCTCTGGTTTAAAGTCTGCTTCTGGGTACATCAAGGAGGAGGAGATTGGTGGATCTCAGCACTCTAGCTGCAGTATGAACGTGAAGAAGCTCCATTAAGTACAATGGAGCCAATCCATTAAGGCATTTAAAAGTTAAAAGTAAGATTTTAAAAGCAATCCTGTAATTAACAGGAAGCCAGTGGAGGGAACGCAACACAGGTGTGATGTGGTCCCTCTTCTTCTTCCCTGTCAGGAGGTGGGCAGCAGCATTTTGGACTAACTGCAGGCGCTCAATAGATGACTTGTCTAAGCCCACATACTGTATAAGGAGTTGCAATAGTCAAGGCGGGAAGTTATAAAGGTATTAATCACCCTCCCCAAATCTTTAGGAGGGAGATAGGCCTTTACCTTGGTTATAGTTCTCAACTGGAAAAAGCGGGATTTTATCATTATATTAAAGAGGATTTTTTCCACTGACTGCATGAGAGTAAAGAAAGATTCTGTTTTAGGGCTGAGATTGGTTAATGAGAGCATAAGCAGAGTGACGTTTTTATTTGAATAAATAGCATTTTGTGGGACAACTGTCCTTTACCAAAGCTGTGTTTCCACATCCACTACTCCTTAGGATACCGGGCAAGTTTAATGATGAATTTTGGATCGGGGCATTTGTCTTCACATGTTTAAGAATTGCTATGTCTTAACTATATAATACTAAAGGTGAATTTCCAACAAAAACAAAACGTGTGTGTGTGTGTGTGTGTGGTGGGTGTGTGTGTGTGTGGTGTGTGTGTGTGTGTGTGTGTGTATTTCTGGACAAGAGCTCCTCAGTCTCAGTGAGGCCTTGTGTGGCTGAGTGGTGCTGCTGATGGTTTGGTAATAGAGGCAGAGAAGAGGAAGTCATCTCTGTTATAATCTCCATGGCCTCCTTCCAGAAAGGAACACAGTGACGGTAAATGAGCTTTAGCTTCTGATGACAGGCATCATAACATGATGCTCGGAGAAGAAATGGTTAGAATGATAATAAGGATGATGAGTGTGATGACAGACTGCCATTTCATTTTGCTTCAGGCTTAACTGACACTGACATCAGAATTACCTCAAATAACTTTATTGAATAATGTGACAGAAGATATTTCTGTAGAAGATTTATAAGCTTTTGTACTAAATATCTCTAAATATCTGATTTATATTTTCTTTCTAGTCGTATGTGTTTTGTGGCTCTGGCGTTTCTCTTTTGTATTTTACATGTTGTGATATTTGTTACATTTTATTATTATTATGTTTGGTCAGTAAATCTCAGTAGAATTCTGTTTTAATGAAAGCTAAAGTGACAAAGTCAAACCATTGATACCAGTGTATGATATTTAAAAATATATTGCCATCAGCATAAAATTTAAAAAAATTTAACCTGAGAAGTAATTTCCTCAATCAGCTTTTCCTAAGTCAAAAACATTACAATTATAAAGAAACCTTTCTAACATTATAACCCACAATGTGGAAATTAGCATCATAGTGAGACTGGCTGACATCTGTGAGTTACGGAAAAGGATGTGGACTAGCAGCCGGGCCACACTGCCTACCTGAGCAGAACGTCTTGCTTTTCATTTCGGCGACGATCTGAGCAGCACATCTTACACTTCACCATGAGAGCCTGTGTCATCATACCAGCAACATTATACCTTTTACTATATATATATATATATATATATATATATATATATATATATATATATATATTTTTAATCCCTCATATTTTGGGACATAGAATAGATAGAAGTATGTTAACACAGGAAAGAAGGGTACTTTTGCTGCTCATCTGTTGTATTTTTTTAATACTTTCTCTTGCATGTTCGCAATAAAGATTTCTATATAAATTCAATATAATATAAATGTCTATATACACTATATTGCCAAAAGTTTCGGGAAACTCCTCCGAATCATTGAGGCGTGCCAATCACTTCTATAGCCACAGGTGTATAAAATCGAGCACCAAGGCATGCAGACTGCTTCAACAAACATTTGTGAAAGAGTGGGTTGCTCTCTCTCATGAGTGAATGCAAGAGTGATACCGTGATAGGTTGCCATCTGTGCAATAAGTACATTTCGTGAAATTTATTATAACAAAGTGTAAGCGATTGGGTGGTAGGCCACATAAAATCACAGAGCAGGGTCAGCGCATGCTGAGGTGCGCAGTGCGCAAAAGTCGCCAACTTCCTGCAGAGCCAATAGCTACAGACCTCCAAACGTCGTGTGGCCTTCGGATTTGCTCAAGAAAGCAGTGCGTAGAGAGCTTCATGGAATGGGATTTAATGGCCGAGCAGCTGCATCCAAGCCATACATCACCAAGTGCAATGCAAAGCGTCTGATGCAGTGATGTAAAGCACGACGCCACTGGACACTAGAGCAGTGGAGACATGTTCTCAGGAGTGACTCACGCTTCTCTGTCTGGCAATCCGATGGACGAGTCTGGGTTTGGCGGTTGCCAGGAGAACAGTATTTGCCTGACTGCACTGTGCCAAGTCTAAAGATTGGTGGAGGAGGGATTATGATGTGGGGTTGCTTTTCAGGGGTTGGGCTTGGCCGCTTAGTTCCAGTGAAAAGAACTGTAATGAACTGAAATGCTTCACCATACCAAGACATTTTGGACAGTTTCATGCTCCCAACTTTGTGGAAACAGTTTGAATTTGGCCCCTTTCTGTTCCAACATGATTGCACACCAGTGCACAAAGCAAGATCCATAAAGACATGGATGAGAGAGTTTGGTGTGGAGAACTTGACTGGCCTGCACACAGTCCTGACCCAACCCGATAGAACACCTTTGGGATGAATTAGAGACTGCGAGCCAGGCCTTCTCGTACAACCTCTGTGCATGACTTCCCAAATGCACTAGCAAGTCTACAACTTTGCTAACATAGCCAAATATAAAGCAAGCACAACAACACATGACATAGAAAGCCAGCTAATGAGTTATTACTTACTAGTCCAGCAGCAAGAAGGCCAGCATGGCATCTGTCTTGCATACTTTCAGCTGTTTTAGCTCACGCCAACAAGTAAAAGCCAGTCTGACATTTACTATTGTCCAGTCTCTTGCTTGGTCACTCTCTCTTTTTCTCTTCCTTGCTTCCTCCAACAACATCTTCTTCACAGCCTCTGCCGTGATATCCATCCTGAAAATACAGAGCTTGCGTCTTCCAAAGAACTTACATTTTACGTTATATACTTTTTGCTTCTTCCTATAGCTTGCTTGCTGAAGAGTCGTGTCGGTGCCGTAAAGCATTATGCTTTTCTCATGATAGATGTCTTGGGCAGGATTTCAGTGTTACATGACGCTGGCAATGACTAGTCAGCAACTGGAAATGACAGCGTACCTTGAAAATTATTTTGAAGCTGTTATTTTAAGATAAAAATGCAAATACAACATAATTAAACTGATCTTGATGTGTTCCCCTTTAAGACAAATCTGTCATCAGAAATATTAAGATGAACTCGTAATAATTCATTATAATTTCCAATTTTGTTAATGCCTGCAATCACTTTGTGGAGTTTGGAATAAATCTCTTCAAATAGTGTGTTGGTTATTTCTACCAAACAAAAACTCCTTTGTGCTGACTACTGACTAGATTACAAGATAATCAAAGCTGCAATGAACTAGCTCTGCCCTCCGTGGGGATGAATTACTTCTGTACAATAGAACAAATCCCATCTCTTGTTTCAGTGCCAACACACACAGGCCCATAATAACCCTAAAGAGGGACTTGGATCAGTGTTTCTCTTTTTCTTTACCTCTTTCCTCTGTCAGAGATGTGTAACAAAGAGCAGCCCTTTCACAAATCAGCACACTGTGTCCTGGTCCTTGACATTACTATACTCCTAAGTTACAGTGTGAAACTGTATCAGATGGACAAAAACTGTGACCCCTCTCTGACTCTCTCTCTCACGCACACACACACACACACACCTACACACACACACACACAGAAAAGGTACTCACAAGGTACGACAACTACAGTTACACTTACAGTTACACACTACACAGAAAAATACAGGGACTGAATGAATCATGACCTGACATGGAAGAGCAACAACAATATGGGAGGGATGCTCAAAACATGATGATGTCAGTTATTTCAACAGAGAAGGTCCATTGACCTTACCATTGCCGATTTGAGTCAGAAAGAGCTGTAATAGAGAATGATTTGTCCAAAAGCAAACAAAATACTGTTTCTGTGAATGATAGGCTTTTCTTCCTGAAAATGAAAATGTCCCCTACCTGCCTGGCACCTCAGGTTGACTAATTCTTTTAGCCAACCTGAGGTGCTTTCAAAACCTTAGTGTTAATAAAAATGAATTGTGGTAGTGGAAATCTGCCTATTAGTTTACATAGTGCCATTACACCCTTTACAGTAAATACAGTATATATTTACGTAACTAGAAAAGGGCTAAGAGATAACA